CCGTCCCAGCCTGTTTATCTTTACAAAGCAGTTAAAAGCACCGTCACCGGGGGGAGGGGTATGATTGGTCGAACTCTTTTCTTCTTTTATTTGTCAGAAGGCTGGACGCTGCTGCCCCTTACTGTCAGATTTGAGTTCTGCACAGCACAAATGAACACATAGGCGTCACCAGCTTTTTGTGTAGTTTATAGTGCCAAATCGTACCAGCATACTGTGATGTCAAAATGTGTGCCTGCTACACAAAATACATACAGGTTGGCAGGTCTGCACTCTGCAGCCCCCCCTTCTCACTCCCCCTAGTGATGCATGACACTGCAGTTTAACCAAGTCAGAGCCAAAGCCAGAGTTAAGATATTTAAAATATATAACACAGATTCAACCATCCAAAATACAGTATTTCAGTTCATACACAGTTATATACCATTATAACATAACTTTAAGTAGATTATACTGGATTGTAATAAATGAGTTAAAATGAAATACTGATGGACTAAAGATGATTAATGTATGGAGTAATGTTTGTGTTAGCAAGCTGGGATGCTGATCTACCTTTCAGGTCTAAAAGAAAGTGAGATAATGAACATAATTAAATCATCTGTCACAAATATTTCTAATATTTTGTTTCACATTCAAAGAAAAAACAATTAAGAGCAAAAATTAAATGGGTACAAAAAAACGTGGATCACAGGCAGCCAAACTCAGCATTAGCAGGCAGCATTAGCAGGACTTGACGCTGGATGTGATTTAGATGGAATCTAGTCTTCAACATTAAACAGACGACTATGCTGTAAAATTAATTAGACAATGTTTAATCAGCGAGGAACCCTCAGGGGCATCTAGGATTTCTGTGAAGTAAATAAATATATATCTGTATTTTGGTTCTTTTAAATTTAATACAATCCATAAGCTTGTATTTAAACAGCATAATCACAGTAATAATTAATTCTTTTCTTTCACTGTTAAGTTTTTGGTCAGATAAAAGTGGGTCAGAATCTCAAAAAGCTTAATGAAAAATTATCCAATCAGAATTTTATTCTCTGTGGTGTCCAGGCAGAAACAGACAAGCCAGGTCTTCCAGTGATGAGGCTTTCAGAGCTGAACTGAAGGTGAATGTTTATGTGAATTGCTGTTAGCTTTGTGCTAGCATGCTACTAGAATCACACAGAGGTGCTATCAGAAATTAGCATTATTATCCTCAGTTTGATCAAGTTTTGACATTTATGGCCCAAACTGAAGCCTCTAATAGTCACAGTTCACCACTGAATTTAATAGTTTATAGATCTACTATCAGTTAGAGTTCTTCATATAACTGATGCAGCAAATACCTGAATAAAGCAGAATGTAGGAGATTTATGAACAGCTTGGTTTTCTGTAGAATGAGTTTGGGAGCACAGAGTAGAGACTCAGAGTAGAGACTTGAGGCTGAAGTACAGACATGTTGTGACTACAGTTTGTGCTACAGTGGAACTCAATAAGGGTTGAAGAGGTTTCGGTTCTGATATATTAAACCAGAAAACTAAACTAACTCGAGCTGCACAAACCCAGTCTTTTCCACACACCTCATCAACATGACCTCTCTGTCAAACAACCAGCTTTAAAGGGGAATTCCACAGAGTTTTCAAAATTTCGACATACTTCAGTCGGAGTGGTTTGATGTGGTGACAAGAACCACGAGTTCACGATGTCAACAACACAAACATCGTCAGTTTATTCTCAATGGAAAATGACCAGTGCACCTACACATGTCTTCATAATGTTTACATGTAATACTGATCATGGTAAAATAGTTCTGAAAAAGTTTTCTTGTAGAACAATTTTACCTTACAACATAGAATTCTCTCCACTAAAAACATATTTATAAAAACACTTTGTAGGCCAAAATCTTCTCAAAACGTTTGTAAAACAATGTTCCAGGCATCAGGCAACATATTCCAAACTACTTCATGTGTAATAGCGTTTGGTGAAACAGCTTAGAGACACTAAACATTTTGAACATCTGGTTCCTATCAACACAGCTGTGACAAATTCACTCAGGGTACATTTCTCCAGAATGGAGCATTTCACACCAAACCACTCTGAATGAATTTGTTTACATCTCAACAATTTAATTATTTACAATTTTGAAAACACAGGTGGAATTCCATTTTGCATTTTTGACTCTAAGACCTTGACTGTTAAGTCTTACATGTGTAAACACACTATTTACTAAGCCTTAAATTAATTTCAGAGATGGACATTTTTTAAAACTAAAAAAAAACAAGCAAAAATGCCCAGATGTAGTTTTTCATGACCCACTCGTCCAAGAACAAGTTTATGGTCACAATTTATTGCCACACTGCATGCAGCGTGTCATGAAATCAGGTTAATTAAATAATCTAAATGAACTAAATTAACCTGCAAAATAAACTCATCAGATCTGCTCTCTCTTCTACTGAGCCTGATTTTGTTTGCTTGTTTTATCCTTTAAAATATTTATGTTCTTCTTGTGTCTTAATATTTTCTCCTAACTCCCTCAGTCATTTTAATCACACTGCTGACTCAGGTTTTCTCTTCTATAGACTTTTCTCACAGCGAGTCCCACTTCAGTTTGGTTAAGCATTAAATCTCTTTAGTAGAATTAAATCACTTCTGCTCCAAACAACAGCAGCAAAATTGGTCTGTTATTCTTGTGTGTTACAATGTTGAAAGAGCCAAATCTTTCAACAAAAGTGAAAGGAAGAAGTGGGTTCCTGCTAGTCAAAGCGCTGATTTAAACAAATCTGATTGGAGGACGCTGTATATGTAGCACGGGATACTGAGAGAAAGATCCCGAACTTCCCAAGCTGTTTACAGCTGTCTAACATAAAGCCACTGTCTGTTTCATGTACAGTATGCCAGTGATTTTTGTAATATTAGCTGGCTTGTTATGTCAATGATGTGATACTCCTACTGTCATTAGAACTTGTATCAAACAGCATCCAGAGTCCATCTTTCTCTATTGTCATTAATGCAAGAAAACTAAAGCTGTGGGTTTGAGCTCTGTGGTGTGCTGTCACATTTGTTTTGAAGTGTGGGAGAATCATCCACTGATGACATAAAGAGCTTGCTAACTTTATCTATTCAAACTAAGCTGATTTGGAGAAATTAATCTGTTAATTTAGCAAGCAAACACGCCCAGCTAGTAGTGAGAAAAAATAAATAAACTCTAATTAATTTACACTGCAAAAAAGTAACAGAAACCACTGGCATTTATGATACAGGGAGCTGCCATATAGAGCCAGCTGGTAACAACAGTACAAGCCACATTGTTCGGAAATAGTGTTAGTGATTGCTTTTAGTCATACTGGCTAATGGAACCCTTCTACAGTTCATCTAGATCAGACGGACCAGAGTTTTATATCTAATGCTCACTCTGTAGTGTATACTAATGAAGCCACAAAGGGTAACTTAAATGAAAGTGTGTTGCTGAGTCTAAGTTTCACTTCATATATTCATTCTTCCTGTAAAACATTTCAAAAACAGGCAAAAATATTTCTAGCATCACTTGTATAACTTATTTTTTCCCACTACTGTATAAAAAATTGGGAACATTTGCGATGTTAGCAAGTTAGCTAGGAATTTATTTTTTCACCTGGTCCCCAAATGTTAAGGGAAAAAAAAACAGCTGCCCCATCTGGTCAAAGCTGGTGTGACATGTGACAAGTTTTGTGAAGGAGAAATGGACTCAGGAATGTGATTTATTATTTATTTTTTTTTCATCTTAGCCTTCTGGGCTTCTGAAGTATTCACACGCTAAAAGAAAGTCACAAGAAAAAAGCAAGTGCCACCATATTAGCACATAACAAAACATCTACCTGTTTAGAAAATCTGTTTCCCACAACATACAGAGCGTCCTTATAATGCAGCCAGTTCAGAGTGATGCATTCAAACCCAACTATGCTCATCAATGTAGCCTTTTATATTGTGCATGAATAGCAAAAGATGCAGCACACACAAAGTTTAGTTTCACCTTGTTTGCTGGCTGCTGCATTAAAAACGTACAAAAATTAGTGAATTTAGAGGGTCATGATGATTGGCTGGTACAATAATGAAGCATTTTTCAAAAATGCAGTGTGAAGTAATGCAGTAATGCATAGTAATAACACACTTGATACAGAAGTCTAGAAGCAGTGTGGTATTAATATGCTCGTACTGCATTATCTCAAATTATGTTTTTGCTTTATCCAATTTAGTACTGCAATATCAATTTAATTAACTACAACTACAATAATCCTAGACTGTTACAATCTGCAGTAAAGTAGGTACTATTATTTCAGTTTTTTTAATACTTGATTACAAACACAGTAAAATTGACACAGTACAAAAGTAGTGTTAATGGAATATAAAAACAGCAGTTCAGAATGCAGTAGGGTACTACTGGATACTAATGTACATTTTAGTACTACAGTAGTGCATTTGTTTTATTTGTGTAGTAAATGAAGTAAAATGGATGTAATTACTATTAAAAAACTGCAGTACATTATCCAGTAATACAACTTTTAGTACTGCATCCAATTTACTACACCTGCACTTAATACAGCACAGTAACTACTGTTTTACTCTTACTAAAACACTACAGTCCTGATATTACACTACAGGGAAAATTTCTTCAGTGTTCAAAACCGCACAATCAAGACAGTTACTTTGAAATATTCACACTTTCTCACACACATATACACACATGGACAGGATGGATTCCTGTTTTGTCTGAACACAAAAGGCAAGATACACGACATAAAGTTATACATATAAAAGCTAAGTTAGACAGTGCTGAGCAAATAAGGCCTGTGTAAATATGAATGGCTTCTTTTTAGATTATGCAAGTATTGCAGCTTTCAAGAGTTTTTAAAGCCCACTGGATGTCCCTCCTATCCAAGGGTGTTGTTACATGTTAATAATAATAATAATAATAACGATAATAATGATAATAATAATAAATTATTCCAACACAAACACACACGCACAGAGAAAGCTTTCTGTACCTGAGTATGTCCAGTCTGCAGTGTGGATCCTCCAGTCTAGCAGTGAGCAGCTTCACTCCTGTATTTCCTGGGTGGTTGTAGGTCAGATCCAGTTCTTTCAGCTGTGAGGGGTTTGCACTCAGAGCTGAAGCCAAAGTAGAACAGCCTACTTCTGTAATCATACAACCAGATAACCTGCAGAGAAGAGGGGAAAAGAGGGAGAGACAGGTGAAGTGTGAGATGTGCATTTAAAGTCATATGTAAGGGAATTTCTTTCATGGAAAGTATAGTTTATGAAAGAATATATCTGCTCATCTTTTTAGATACAGCATTGCATATCAAGCATAAATGTACAGAAATCTCACCTGAGTATCTCCAGTTTACAGTGTGGACTCTTCAGTCCAGCAGAGAGCAGCGCTGCTCCTGAATCCTGAAGGTCATTTTTGCTGAGATCAAGCTCTTTCAGGGAGGAGTTTACCAGTTGTAATACTGATCCTAGATTTTCACAAGATTTTTCCCCAAGATTACAAGAATCTAGTCTGCAAAGGGAGAATACAGTATCTTACAAAACAGTAAAAAGAAACTGACTGAGTATTCACAGCTTATTCAAATGGTTCCACTAAGTGACAAGAGGAGAAACAACTCAACAGTGTGTTTCCTTTTCTCAAAAAGTGTTTCCTTTTCTCAAGTTTGCTTATAATAAAAGTGGGACTGTAATCAGCAACAACTGTTAAACTTACCATGCATATCAGACAAGGAAGCTCATTTTTAGAAATATATTTTCACAATAAAGACAAAACAGTTCACTAATCCTGTGTAACTTCCTACTTTATTAGTTTAGGCTTCATTTTCCTTGAATGAAGTTTTTTTTGTTCAAAAGGAAGAATTCTTGGAAGTAAGAAAAAAGCATTTTACATTTCAACCAACATGATTAGGAAGTAACAGTGAAATCAAACAATAACATTTTTAGTTCCGATAGGTGGTACCAGTGATGCAAGAGAAAAATGTTACTCTAGCTCTTCTGGAAGTCCTAGATATGTCACTGACTGTGAGTACAAGCTGTAGTCAAAGAAATAGGTTTCTGTCAGTGGTTAAAAACTGAAAATGGCTGAGTATTATTAAAGCAGTCACTGTAAAACTACTACTTGCTATGGAAATGTGTGTTGCTAGGATTACTGTTATGAAATTCAAATGCCCCTGTTTCTGTTACAGATGCAATACATGTGTCCACCACTGTTTGATTAACATAATATTAACATGATAACATAAAATCAGAACATTTACAACTCATAAATGTGGTAGCGGAAATTAGCATTATTGTAGCAGTAGTACATTCCAAGACATCTTAAAAAATTAAAACATTTGTGCTTTAAATACTGCTACGTAAAGATATGCATAGCTGATGCATGCTTTTAATGCAGTGACAGTATTTGGCTCTCTGTGTAAACAAAATTTAAAAAAAGAAAAATCTCAAATAGACTGTGCTTTATTTTGTTTTGTTAGTTGCATTGGTCCGTTATTAATCTCAGCACCAGACTTCTGACAGGTTTGATGAATATTCCAAAACATAGTCATGTTGGGAGGGACATTTTTATTTATCTTTGTCTATTTCACCTTTTTCAGTTTTTCCTTCATGCTTCACTTTCGTGCATTTGGATCTTGTCATCTAGGAATTTTATTTTCAGCATGTAATACTGTACGATTCTTTAAATTCACTAAAACACCCTTTTGATTTAAAAAGATGTGCTGGTGAAACACTGAATATCAAGAATGAAGTCTCACGATGAAAGAATATATTTGCTCATCTTTTTTGATACGGCATTGCATATCAAGAATAAATGTACAGAAATCTCACCTGAGTATCTCCAGTTTACAGTGTGGACTCTTCAGTCCAGCAGAGAGCAGCGCTGCTCCTGAATCCTGAAGGTCATTTTTGCTGAGATCAAGCTCTTTCAGGGAGGAGTTTACCAGTTGTAATACTGATCCTAGATTTTCACAAGATTTTTCCCCAAGATTACAAGAATCTAGTCTGCAAAGGGAGAATACAGTATCTTACAAAACAGTAAAAGGAAACTGACTGAATATTTGCATATTTGCAGCTTATTCAGATGGTTCCACTAAGTGACAAGAGGAGAAACAACTCAACAGCGTGTTTCTTTTTCTCAAAAAGAGGTTCAAGTTTGCTTATAATAAAAGTGGGTCTGTAATCAGCAACAACTGTTAAAGTGGAATCAACCAATAACATTTTTAGTTCCAATAGGTGGTACCAGTGATGCAAGGAAAATTTTGAGTATGAGCTGTAGACAAAGAATTAGGTTTCTGTCAGCTGTTAGACATGGAATATGGCAGCAGCTGTTCTATGGGTATTTTATTGAAGTATTTACTGTAAAACTACGACTTGCCAAGAAAATATTTATTACTGAAATTTCTGTCATGAACTGCAAATATCTGTGTTTCCTGTTACAGATTTAATATAATATGTATGTCCACCACTGCTTACTTAACATAATATTAACATAAAATCATAACATTAACATCTCATAAGAAAGTAGTTCATTCCAAGACACATTAAAACAACTAAAACATTCATGCATTAAATACTGCTAAGTATTGAGATGTATAACTGATGTATGCTCTTAATACTATAAATGCATTTGTCTCTGTGTGTAAACAAAAGGAAAAACCTCAAACCACTGTGCCTGGGGAATCACGTGACCGATTTTCCGGAATGGCAGCTCGCGGCTCGAGCTCTCGCATTCCTTCTCTCTTTTTGATTGATTTAGTCGGTTTTAATTTCATTACCCCGGTACCTTTTGTTGTGAAAGATTGTCTGAGATGTCGAACACAAAAGGGAGAGCGATTTCCTCGCCGGTGTCCTCTCCAATTAAGAAAAAATCCAAGCAGTTTGAGTCACCCGAGATGGCTAAGATGGCGGATCTCTTGGCTGATTCCATGGAAAAACAAGCTAGCTTTCTCCAGTCGCAGTTGGAAGCGATGTGCGCGGACTTCAGGGTTCAGTTGTCTGCAATCCAAGATGACCTTTCGACACAGACGAAGTCAGTCCTCACGATGATTTCGAAAGTTGACAAAGTAGTTGGCGAACAACGCGAGCAGAAGATTCTCAACTGTCACATAACTCAGTTGGAGTCTGTTGAAAGTAAGCTAGCTGAACTCGAGGACCGCTCATGCCGTAATAACGTGCGGCTGGTAGGTCTACCAGAGGGATTCGAAGGTGACAACCCCGTTAGCTACATCCAAAAGGCGATCAAAGAGTGGTTCCCTTCCCTTGCTGATAAAGAGATGGAGATTGAGAGAGCCCATCGAATCTACAAGAAATCATCGGATGGTCAGAACTCGCCGCGGGTGCTCATCTTCAAATTTCTGCGGTATCAGGAAAGGCAACGACTGCTGAAGGCTTACAGGGAGCGCAGCCCTGTTGTGTTTTCAGGCTCCAGGCTACGTTTCTTCGTTGACTACAGCGCAGCCACAGTTAAGAAGAGGATGGCTTTTCTTTCAATTCAGAAAACATTAAAAGCAGCTGCTATAGAGAACTTTCTGCTATATCCAGCTCTGCTAAAAGTCAGTGTCAGGTACTGTGCATCATTTCTCTTCTCCTTCGGAAGCGGAGGGTCTGCTCTCCTCTTTAGCCAGGCCGAGTGAGAACACCATGGAAGCACAGATTCAGTGTTGATTGCTTGCTTACTTTAAACTTTCCTACATGCATAAGTCAAACTCTGTTGACATTATGGTATCTAAAGTAAGCTTAACTTGGGTGTATTAGCAGTGTTTATATTCTTTCTACATGTACATTATTTCTTTCTTCTTTTTTTCTCTCTCTTTTGACTAATCTATTCTTTGAATACTTATTACAATTATTTATTTATCGTGGTTAATATCTTTGTATTTCTTTTGTATATTTTAATTCAGCTGTTTTACTTATCATTTAGTCACTTATGCATTTCTGGTGATTAGTAGTCTGATGTTTCTTCTATCTTTATATGTTGCTTTGCTGACTGATCTTTCATTTAACTAGTACCATCAGTGTTCAAGTGGGTAGGGATTTCTGTGTTATTGAGGGAATGGTGCGATAACATAGCTGCTGTATGCACACCGACGAATGTGTCAGGGTTCAACTATGGGGAGGGGATGAAGCAGAGAATGAGAGCATCATTATGCTCTTTCCTTCTTCAGTGGGGATTGTTCAAGTTATTTACGGTTCGGGGAAAAAGGGAACATGGCACCCTAATGCTCTTTGCTTTTTTCAGTCCGATATGGTCTTTGTAACTCAAATGATTTGTTTTGATTTTCTGGTGATTTTCTGTTTTCAGGTTTCATTTGCTAAATTGTGGTCAATCTATTCTTCTTGTTTATACGATAATGGTTGATTTGTCAGTCTTGTCTTGGTATGTCCGGGGTTTAAACTCTCCTTCTAAAAGGACCAGCTGACATACTTCAAAGGAAAAAAATAGATATCGCATTACTTCAGGAGTCTCATCTTTCATCACAAGACGTGCCCAGAAAGGCCAATAAGTATTTTTATGTGGAAGCTTTTTCTGCAGCCGAGAGCAAAATTAATGGTACTTTAATTTTTTGCGTAGGATGATAAATATAACAATACTTAATACAGGCTCAGACACATCTGGACGAATTGTACATCTTGAAGCAAATATCATGGGGAAAAAACTCACATTTGTATCAGTGTACCATCCCTCTGTCTTTGATCCAGACTTTTTTTATTTTTTAACAAAATATCCGGTAAAATGAACATCCTTTGATTATAGGTGCTGACATGGACGCGGTTTTTAACAATTTATTAGACCGCTCCAAAAATGGCCAAAATGATAATCTTACACAATTTGTCTCAATGCACTCTCAGATAGCAGTTTAATACTACATTGCTGCAGAATGAAAAATGTATTGCTGAATTTAGCTCTGGCCTTAAAGATTTTATGGCTATCAATTATGGCTATACAGATCTACAAATTTTGTGGCAAGCAATTAAGGGATACATTAGGGGGAAATCCACTCTTTTTGCCTCACAACTAAATAAAAACTAAACTAAAGGAAATTACAGTCCTAGAAAAAGTCCTAGAGAAGTTGCCTCACTTGTTCTTTCACTACAGACATCCTTTAATGAAAATGTTGCAGCTGAGCTTGAATTAGTTAAAGGGGAACTTAATTCTCTGCTTAGAAGGCGTTCTGAATTTTTCATGCATAGAGTCAGACAATATTATTATTTTCATAGTAGTCACCCTAGCCATTTGTTGGCCCTTATATTACGCAATAGTAAACATTTTTCTGACACCCCTGTTATAAAATCACCCCAAGGTACTTTGGTTACAGATCTGGCTCAGATTAATTCTATATTTCAGCAGTTTTATGCAGAGTTATACCAATCTGAATCACAAATGGAATATAATGATCACATGAGTTACCTGATAACTCTAAATTTACCATGTCTATCTAAAGAAGAAGCAGATATGCTCGGGCAGCCAGTAACATTAAATGAACTCAAAAAAGCTTTACAAGCAATGAAGAAAGGGAAAGCTCCAGGCATGGATGGTATGCCCCCAGAATTTTATTTGACATTCTTTTCCCAACTAGGTCCACCCCTATTAGACATGATAAATAATGCAATAGAAATAGGTTCTTTCCAGAGTGAGGCGAATATATCAATAATTTCTCTTCTTCTCAAACCACAAAAAGGCCCAACCTCCTGCAGCAGTTATCGCCCCCTGTCTTTGATTGGATCAGATGTTAAATTATTTGCTAAAGTCCTTGCAACGCACCTTGAAACATATATGACTAAATTAGTTCACCATGATCAGACAGGGTTCATTAAAAATCGACTTGATAATGTTCGTCGGCTGCTTCATATCCTTGATTTTGCACTTGATATACTTACTCCATGTGCTACTGTTTCTTTAGATGCAGAGAAAGCATTCGACAGACTCAACTGGGGCTTTTTTGGGCTGTACTGGACATAATGGGTCTGGGTCTTAATTTCATTAAACTGGTTAAAACTCTGTACGCCAACCCTTCAGCTTTGGTAATAACAGGTAACAAATACTCATCTGCATTTTTAGTTTCTCATGGATCTAGAAAAGGCTGTCCGCCCTCTCCTCTCGTATTTGCTCTGTCACTCGAGCCCCTGGCCCAAGCGATTCGGCTATCCCCACTTTACTCTCCAATCACCATTAATAATACTTCTCACTACATTTCTTTATACGCTAACGCATTTTGCTTTTCATTAATAATGAACCTGTAACACTTCATGTGCTTTCTATTCTGGGTAGTTTTTGCAGTTACTCTGGCTATAAGGTCAATAAGACAAAGTCTGCACTTTTTCCTTTGAATGATGGAAGATATGAGGAAGGTCTTCTTTAGCTATCCCTGTAGTACATCACTTTAGGTACCTTGGGATTGAAATTCATTCATCCCTTCAATTAACAGTTAAGAAAAATTTTAATCGGATATTTACTAAAATCTGTGACGATATGAGGAACTGGAGTCATTTACCTAATACTCTTCAGTATATCAGTAGTGAAAATGAATATCAGTAGTGAAAATGAATATTCTCCCTAGAGTTAATTTTATAAGTTCTATGATTCCGTTACCTCCTCCTGTAGGTTTCTGGGACAAACTTCACTCCAGTGTCTCAGCTTATATATGGAAAGGCAAGAAACCTTGAATTAAACTCGCTGCTCTTCAGAGTAATAAAAAAGATGGAGGACTTTCTCTTCCTAATTTCAAATTACATTATTATTCCTTTGTTCTTCGTCCATTGTCAGTTTGGCTCAATTCAAATACTCAAACATCTTGGCGGCCTCTTGAGGAAAGTCTGGTTGCTCCATACAGATAACAAGATCTCATGTACTCGAATATTCCCATAAAGCAATGTAAACTGAGACATGGTCCTTTAATTAGTAATTTACTTGTAACATGGCCGGTTGTAGAAAAACTGACCGAAACCACAACTGTTCCTTTCTTCTTTCCTCAATGGCAACAAAAGGGAATACATGTTCTGGAGGACATCTTTAATGATTCGGGACTTCGGATATTCCAAGACTTGCTTGCATTTTACAGTATACCAGGTTTTTCATTTTTTCTCTGTCTCCGCCTTCGCTCTGCCATGAAGGCATATGGTGTTCCTTGGGGCTGCACTTTACCCTTACACCCATTGCATAAACTGTTCGTTGCTAGCATGGGAACCAAAGGTTGAGTATCCAAAGTTTATCTTATTATACTACGTGCTGTACATAAACCCTTAGGCCTACAAACTGTATGGGAAAAAGAGCTAAAAATTGACCATGGTCAAATCAATTGGCATACTCTATGGAATAACATCACATCAGCCTCTAAAAATCCTAATCATCAGCTTATTCATTATAATTTTATCCACAGATCCTATTTAACCCCCTGCTGACGCTACCATATGCGTCTTACTCCATCTCCTCTTTGTAATTTTTGTTCTGATGGTACACATGGTACATTTTTACATATGTACTGGGAGTGTTTAAATGTGCGTACGTTTTGGACTAAGGTTTCTTTTACATTATCAGATATTCTCAATAAAACTATTCCAAATACAGTCCAAACTTTGCTTTTGATTGACGACTCTGAATGTAATTTAAATTGTGCTGAAAAGCGAATCTGGCTGGCTGGTCTCACAGCTGCAAAAAAAATGTTAGCCTTGTGCTGGCAACCTCCACATTCTCTGTGCTGGCGGCAATGGATCCTCACCTTGGTGGATATCATCAATATGGGACTTTCAACTGCAAGGATCCATGGAGCTAGCGGGAGGACCTTGAGCTCTTTAGAAAGTGCAGCTAAGAAAATTGGCAATTTATTGTGAAACCTGTTTTGTATTACTTGATATGTCATAGAGATCATTTATTTATTTATTTATTTATTTATGTATTTATTTATTTATTCACTATTTTTTTCTTCTTTGACCTGCGGTGGGTTTATGGGTGCCATGTGTGTGTGTGTGTGGGGTTGGCTGGGTGCTTCATTTTGTTGCTATGTCTTTTGTTGCTTACTGTATTTTGTATTACATTGAAGCACTATCTTAAAAATAAAAACATTTGATCACAAAAAAAGTACATTGTGCTTTATTTTGTTTTAATAGCTGCACTGGCCAGTTACTAATCTTAGCACCAGACTTCTGACAGGTTTGATGAATATTCCAAAACATAGTCATGTTGGGAGGGACACTTTTATTTATCTTTGTCTATTTCACCTTTTTTCAGTTTTTTTTCTACATGCTTCACTTTCGTGCATTTGGATCTTGTAATCTATTGAATTTTATTTTTAGCATGGAATATTGTATGATTCTTTAAATTCACTAAAACATCCTTTTGATGTAAAAAGATGTGCTGGTGAAGCACTGAATATCAAGAATGAACCTCACCTGAGTATCTCCAGTTTACAGTGTGGACTCTTCAGTACAGCAGAGAGCTGCTCTGTTCCTGAATCCTGAAGGTCAATGTTGATGACGTCCAGCTCTTTCGCGGAGGAGTTTACCAGTTGTAAAGCTGATCCCAGATTTTCACAAAACGTTTTCCCCATATTAGACGAAGATAGTCTGCAAAGCGTGAACACATATCTTATAAAAGGAAATTAGAAATAAATAATTTATCATAAATGTTCATTCTTACAATACAGTTATAAGTTATCTTGCATATCTGTAGCTTATTAAGATGGTTCCATTAAGTGACAGTAGGATAATTAAGTCAATGCATAAATAAAATCAGCAGCGTGTTTCCTTTTCTCACAAAGTGGTCCAAGTATGCTTACAATGTTCCTTCAGTAAAGCGGCACTACAATCAGCTACAGTTGTTTAACTCTTTCATCTTTCATCTTAGTGCTTTCATCTTTATTGTCATGCATATGCGGCAAAGCAGCTTATTTAAAGAAATGTTTTCACATTAAAAAATCTAGAACAGCTCAATAATCTTACATAGTTTGCTAATTTGTTGGTTAATTTAGTATTTCACCTGGTTCAAGTTTGCTTATAATAAAAGTGGGACTGTAATCAGCGACAACTGTTAAACTCATGCTGTTATCTTACCATGCATATCAGACAAGGAAGCCCATCTTTAGAAACATATTTTCACACAATAAAGACAAAACAGTTCACTCATCCTATGTAACTTCCTACTCTTTTAGTTTATGCTTTATTTTCCTTGAATTCTGTTTTTTTTGTTCAAAAGGAAGAATTCTTGAAAGTAATAAAAAAGCATTTATGATTTTATAGTTTACATTTCAACCAACATGATTAGGCAGTAACAGTGGAATCAAACAATAACATTTTTAGTTCCAATAGGTGGTACTAGTGATGCAAGGAAAAAATGTTACTTCAGTTCTTCACAGAGTTCTAGATATGTCATCGACTCTCTGAAGAACTGCGGTCTGGTAGATGCCCAATCTAATATATATATATATATATATATATATATATATATATATAGTAATAACAAAAATATGAGGGATGTTTAGTACATATTTCAATAAATCAATTACCTTCCACTTAAACAGTAGGATTGTAAGGGACAGTGACAGCAGTGATGTTCTAGCCTCTAAGAATAAGTTATCCTCTGTGATATCAGCATCCCGAAACAAGAAGCAAAGTTTGCTTTCTTATGGATTTGTTCGAAAATGATTGATATGCTGTATCTACTGCTGTGAATGAATCACTGAAGACAGATTTAGATAGGTCACTACTGAGTGCTAAATTCATGCAATAACAGATTTTAGGGCTGTTACTAGCACAATATGACACAGACACAGTTAATTTCAACATGCACACACACACTCTTAAAGGTTTAGTCCACAAGAATCATGTGTAAAGTCAAACTCATTTTAACCCTTGTGTGGTGTTCAGGTCTGTGGGATCCATTTTCAATGTTTACCAAAAGAAAAGAATATGCGATTTATTATAATTTCAACCTAGATTGCTTGGCCTTTGGTCATTTTCGGGGAAGAAGATATAAAATAACACATTTTCAGTGCCTTCACACTGTTCACCCCCCACACATTTATACTACACATGTGGTGTTGGGTGAACCCACGGGGAGTAAAAGTGTTGAGGTGCTGTGTCCTTCACTCTGTTCTCATCCTACATGGCCTGCTGTTAGTGTGTGTGTGTGTGTGTGTGTGTGTGTGTGTGAGGGTGGGCAACATGGACAGGCTGCTGACTGGCTACAGCTGCTAAAGGAGATCCCTACACTGGCCACTTGTGATATTTTAAACATCTGGTATTTTTACACAAATTGTAAAATACACAAAAACAAACACATCACACGACACAAGGACTATTTTTTTTGTTGAAAATACAAACAATACAAGCTAAAACACTTGTTCTCTAGTTGCCAGCATATATGCTATTAACACTAGCAATACAGCTTCCAAAAATAGTTAGGATTACATTGTCAAAATCTTCACAATTCATTTTTAGACTTAGCATTATCTCCAGCAGGACAGCAAAAACTGTTGCCTAATTCTAGCGAATGATCACTAGTGTGTAAAATTAATGCAAGCAAGAGCCAGGAAAATTTCAGTGAAACAATTTCTGTCTTTATGATGAAGATATAAATAAATAATATTTTGGGGGCCATCTTACCCCACAGGACTGACTTTAATTTTCACTTCAAAAGAAAAAAAATGACTTGTATATTGTACTCTGCACAACCCCTTCATAATCGTATGGTTTTAACTTTCCTTGCTTAATTTAATATAAATGTATAAATCACTGTTACCTAATGACAAAAACTTTAAATAACTGATCCCAACAAAATTCCAGGTCAATAACTCTCAAAAATGTGATATCAAGATGAAATTTCACAACTCATTTGACCACAGCCATTCTGTAAATTTATCAAGATTAGATCTGGCCCTACCATTTGATTAAGAGAGGAATGAACCATTACATGTTTCAATTCATGTGTTCTCCTTATTCATTTCATTATTTATTATTTTAGTTCTACAATGAGGGACGTTGAATTTGCTTTATTTAATTATGCGTACTTATGCATTTGTGTTTTAACAACGGGTGTCAGGGACCGAGGATCAGTCTGTTACTCAATTGGCCCACAAAAAAAAGCCCTGTGTACAAAAATGTGTCCTCTGCTCAAACCAACTGAGCATAATTTTGAAACACCTTTCGTCAATTTCCTGCTTTCTCACTAAATTTGTCAACCTCCAGAAGTTGAAGGTGGTTGGAATGGCTTGTCCTCACTCAATACTGGGCTAATTTATGTTTGCAGCTTGCTGGCAAATGTGGCACAATTTAGAGGTTTGTGTTTGAACAAGGGAAATTGTGATGTCACCTCTGTTCTGTTTAGAGTGACAGTCACCAATGACATTGTTTTAGTAGTTGTGTTGGTCAGTTATTAATCTCAGCACAAGATTTCTGACTGTAGCCAGGTTTGATCAATATTTAAACACACAGTCATGTAGGGAGGGACCTTTTATTTAGCTCTGTGTATTTAACCTTTTTCAGTTTTTCCCTCATGCTTCACTTTCATAGACTTGGATCTTGTAATATAGAAGTTTTATTTTATACAATATGGAATATTTTATGATTCTTTAAATTCAGTAAAACATCCTTTTGATGTAAAAAGATGTGCTGGTGAAGCACTGGATATAAAGAATGAAATCTTACCTGAATATCTCCAGTTTACAGTGTAGACTCTTCAGTACAGCAGAGAGTAGCTCTGTCCCTGAATCCTGAAGGTCAATGTTCCTGAGGTCCAGCTCTTTCGTGGAGGAGTTTACCAGCTGTGAAGCTGATCCCAGATTTTCACAAGACTTTCTCCTAATATTACACCAAGATAGTCTGCAAAGGGTGAATACATATATAAAAGAAAATTAGAAAAAAGTATTTACATCATAAAGTTAGACACCACACTTACAACTTAACTTGCATATTTGTAGATTACTAAATTGTTCCACTAAGTGACAGTAGCATAAATAAATAAATAAAGTCAGGAATGTGTTTCCTTTTTCTCAAAGTGGATCACATTTGCTTAAAACATTCCTTCAGTAAAGTTGCACTAAATTCAGCTACAGCTGTTTAACTCATGCTTTCATCTTTATCCCCATGCTTATGCAGCATAGCAGGTTATTAAGAGAAATGTTTTCACATAAAAAGGCTAGACCAGCTCACTAGTCCTACATAATTTGCTACTTTGTTAGTTTAGTATTTAAACTCTGGAGAATTTCAATGTCTTGTCAGTTTGGTTAATAATTTTTTGTCATTCTTTCAGCCACTGGTACCAAATCCCAGCACTGGAGAGCTATACTGTCTGCTTGTTCTAATTTGAACTCATTAATGACTGCTGATGATTTTAAAGCACAAAACTGTCTAAAACTGTGCAGGGCTGTGGCCAAAAAAAAATTATAGTTGTTTCCATTCCTGATCCAGAAGTACCCAGGAACAGAGATACTTCAGTTCCAGGATCAAGAAACACAGCACTGAGGGTGCGGTTTACAGTAGAGTGAAATATATATAAAATCTGACTAGTAAGCCTACTTTCGTTGGATCACAATCAGCAGCCTTGCATTTTGTGCAGAGTGCTCAACCTGCCTGTAGTGTCCGGTGGATGCCCAAATTTTACCAGCATGAAATGTTCTATCATAATACCTTTTGATATTGATAGTAAGAATGAAAAGACACAGGACATGTAATAAATATTTCAAATAAACCAATTACCTCCCACTTAAACAGTAAAATTATAAGTGACATTTTAGCCTCAAAGAATAATTTATCCTCTGTGCTTTCAGCATCCAAAAAGAGAAGCAAAGGAGACCAAACAAGTCCTTCTTGTGGATTTGTTTGAACATTACTGATATGCTGTATCTACAACTGTGAATGAATCACTGAAGCCTGATTTAACTAGTTCTGTTTTGAGTGCTAATTTAACCCAATAGTAGGACTGTTACTGACACAATATGAGACAATAACAGACTCTAAGATCAGTTTTACATTAACACACAGTCACACAAAGGTCTAGTAATCAAGGATCATGTGTGAAGTCAAACCCATTATACTTTTTTTCTTAAGAGTGTAAAATTATGTGCAATAACCACTCACTCTCTAGCTGTAGCATACATGCTAATAACACTATCAATACAGTTTCTAAGCTAGTTTTTGTTCCTTTGGTGAACTCTTTACAGCTCTTTATTGTATTTAACATTTAATTTGTAAAAGTGAATGATTTTAGACAAGCGTGGATGTTACTCTAGTGACCTGTAAAACTCACTTTACTCTGCCCAGAACAACAAAGCGTAATACTGTAAATATATTTCCAGAGCCATTGCTAATTTTCTGCTTTCTCATCAAGTTGTCGGCCCCCAGAGTTCATCAGAAAGTTGGTTGGAATGGATTGTTCTCACTCAATGCTGGGATTCACCCTGGTTTGCTGCTAGCTGGCTAAAGTGCCATGATTTATTCATTTGTGTCTGAATGGGGAAATCAGGATGTCACCTCTGTGTTATTTGCTCAGCTCTGTTTAGAGTGACAGTGACCAACAACATGGGCATAGATCAACACAACTGGTCAGGGTGAGGGAGCAACAATTTTTAAGAACTCTATTTAAATGCTTTTTAAAGGTTTCTTATAAAGTGTAAAATGAAAAAATAAAAACAAGCTACAAGTGTCATATGCATTAAGAGACTGTCTGGCCTAGCACTCTGTAAAACTTGTCTTCAGTATCCTGTCCATAAACTCTCATAAGCCTAAAGTTTAGAACAATAAATACTATATTTAACTCTGCTGTGAAGGCTGATCCTGATGCTGATCTAAAGTAATTTGTAACAAGATTGACAGTACAAAAATACACCTCTCCACATGACTATGACCTTCCAGAGTTCATCTCAAGTTTAATTTTTAAAGATTAAGCCTGTAAGTTTTCCTTTCTTTTAGGCCTGTATATTTTTCCATTCTTCTACATACTAACAGGTTCCTCAACATTCTTCCTTTAAAGCAGTCTTTGAAACTGTCAGTCCTAGTCTCTCTTATCCATAACAAATAGCTCTTTAGTCAATGGTACTGCTCCATCTTGTTTCAAGCATGCAGTAGTCCAGCTCTGGTCAGAAAGCCAATACCTGACCCAGTAGGTCTCAATTATTTCAGGCACATTTTAAAAACTGTCAATTTTATTGAACAACATGGAAAAAGGTTGTGTTTTCTCAGCCCTGCTCTTATTCAGTGAGCAATAATATTCTGAAGATTTCAGTCAGGTTTCAGAGCACATCACTGTACAGAGTCAGCCCTCTTTAAAGTGTCTAATGACTTGCTGTTGTCTGTCTGGGAACTCAGAGAACCCTGTTCTACAAATTAATTCCAATATTTTTTTCATGTCAATAACACATTTTACTAGTTTGACTCTTTGACCCATTTGTTGTTCCAGCCTAAAGCCCAGCTGTGGGCTGGGCCGTTGCTATGACTCTGCCACTGTAGCTTCTCATTTAAATATAGATTTTAAATGGCAGCTTTCACTGATTCACTGATAAAGAAAAAATAGGTGCAAAATTTACACCCGTCACAAGGGGGCCAGTGGGACTCATAGCACTAATCAGTTCCATAAAAGATGCGATTGATTGTTAGTCAGGGTGTTAAGCTAAAAAACTGCTGCTATCACTCTCTTGTTTTAAGGTCCCTATACTGAGAAAACAAAGACTTTTATGCTCACTGTAAGTATTACTGAAATTATATGTTTTGTTTATGCTCAGTCTGAAGTAGTTTGTTATGTTATAATGAGGTTTATGTGTAAAAGAATGTAACACAGCTTTTGATTCTATTTGAGGAATGACATCTACTACATTTTCCTTTCTCTCATTTCATTTCTATCCTCTTGTGTCTTATAGATGGACTGAGGAGTTGGGAGACCCCAACTTAAAACTCAAAAGATCCAACTGAAAGGAAATCCAAACATAGAGCTACAGGAATGGAGCTACACTGGTTGACTCAGGTGAGGTTGACTACATCAACTACATCACTTAAGGACAGTTCACTCTAAAAGGACGTGTTGGGACTTGTTGACGGCGCCCCTCGACGTCCATGGAGAAGCTAAAACACTGGACTCAGAGCACCAAACCAGTGAGAGCCACCCATTTTAGCTTATTTGCAGTTATTTGCAGGGGAGTTGCCTGGGCATGAAAAGGTCCATCACTCAGCGCAGTTCACTGAAGGACTGTTTTGGTGTATCTTCACTTAGATTTTTTTTAATTGTTTTCTGTGAAGTGTACAATTTTTACACAGTGTGAGAATTTACACATCAACAAAACTTGAAAGGAATGTAGAAATGACAATTTTCATCTCTTGTGAATAAAATCATGAAAAAATTCCAAAAAAGTGTAAATCTGGCATGAGTTGGGTCTTGTTTTCTACTCAGTGTTTTTTATGTAGTAGATTTTCTTTTTTTTTCCTCAGAGTTCATGCACTTTCAGTTTCTCTCTTGCACTTTCACTCTCTAGCACACATTTTCTCTCTCTCTCTCTCTCTCTCTCTCTGTGTCACTCTCTCTGTCTCTCTCTCTCTTAAAGTTATAGTCTATAGCCGCATGTGCAATAGCTCTGGAGTTTGAGGAGTGAGTGAATGTACTCCTGAATGAAACCATGGATGATGAGAATGATGTGTAAATGGCGCTACAGCTCTAGAAACCCATTCAGGAATAAATTTACAGAAATCTCACCTGAGAATCTCCAGTTTACAGTCTGAATTCTTCAGTATAGCAGAGAGCAGCTTCCCTCCTGAGTCCTGCAGGTCAGCCTGACTGAGGTCCAGTTGTTTTAGGGATGAGTTTGTTGATTTCAGAGTAGAACAGAGATCGTCATAGGAGATCCTGCTGAGTTTACAGTGACCTAGTCTACAAGGCAAATAAATACAGTACATATTACAGTGAAAACAGAGAATGATGAATTCAGGATCACAGGAATCTGGAATATAAGAAAATTAGAAAACAGTACTTTCATATACTGAGATGCTTCCATTATATATGTTATTCAGAACAGCAGAAAAAATGGGCTCAATTTGAATGTTTTCTAATATTCTAATAATCTAATCATTTTATTTGAATACTTTCAAAACTATTTGTACTTTTTTTCCCTCATGGACTTTTGCTCTGAAACTAAACTTTCTTTCCTCTTCTTTTCACTTTAGTAGGCAGGCATGGGGCAAGGGGTACATTACAGTCAGTCAGAGAAGGAGAAACACACACACACACACACACACACACACACACACACACAACCAAACACACAACCAAACACACACACACACACACACAGAAGTGCAGAGGAAGAAGTGACACTGGACACAAGCAAGAGCACAGAAATAGATTAGATATTATTTTTGCAACCTTTACAAAAAGTATATTTGAAGTTTCTCTTTCATAATGGTATAGTCTAAAGCTGCATTTGGAACAGCTCTGGAGTTTGAGGAGTGGGTGAATGTGACCCTGAATGAAAACATGGATGACGAGAATGGTGTGCAAACAAGCTGGGGTAAAACTTGTGATATGTTAATGTTATAAGGTTCAGATCCCAGATTTTCAGTAGACGTTCTCCCAGTATTACACTAAAACAGGCCAAGAGTGAACATGTATCTTTTAATAGAAAATTAGAAATCATGCTTTCAGTCACTGGTACCAAATCCTGGAGAGTCACAGCACTGAAGAGCTAGACTGTCTGTTCTAAGATAAACTCGTTAATGACTGCTGATGATGCTAAAACAAGAGTCTGTATAAAACTGTATAATCTATCCTGAAGTACCCAGGGCTAGAGGTATTTCAGTTTCAGGATCAGAAAACACAGCACTGAGGGGGTGATTTGTGATTTGTGTTTTTACAATGGTGTTATCCTCTGTGCTATCAGCATCCAAAAGGAGAAGCAAAGAGCAGCCAGTCAGTTAGTCAAAAAAAGAAAAAGAAAAAACAGAAAACTGACAAAACTGAAAGTGTGCAAAAATGTTTCCTCTTCTCAAAGCAACTGTTGGAAACATGTTTCCAGAGCCATTGGCCAGTCTTGTATTTCTCAGTGAGCTGTCAACTTCCAGAAATTCATCAGGAAGGTGGCTGGAATGTCTTGTCCTCACTCAATACTGGGTTCACTTATGTTTGCAGCTTGCTGTCTAATGTGGCACGATTTAGTGGTTTGTGCTTGAACATGGAAATTGCAATGTCACCTTTATTTTATTTGGTCATCTCAGTTCTGTTGAGAGTGCCAGTAGCTAATGACATTATGTTTTAGTAGTTGCATTGGTCAGTTATTAATCTCAGCAAAAAAAAATTGAATGTAGCCTTGGATTGATTAATATTCAAAGAAGCAGTCATGTTGGGAGGGATCCTTTATGTAGCTATTTCACCTTTTTTCACCTTTTTGAGTTTGTCTCTCATGCTTCACATTCATACAATTGGATCTTATAATTAAGAACCTTTATTTTAAGCATAGAATATTGAATAATTCTTCAAATGAACTAAACCATCTTTTTTCAATGTAAAAAGATGTGCTGGTGAGGCACTGAATATCACAAAAATCTCACCTGAAAATCTCACTTTTCTCTCACTTTTCTCACTAAAATCTCACCTGAGTATCTCCAGTTTACAGTGTGGACTTTTCAGTACAGCAGAGAGAAGCTCTGTTGCTGAATCCTGAAGGTCATTGTGGCTGAGGTCCAGGTCTTTCAGGGAGGAGCTTGCCAGTTGTGAAGCTGATTCCAGATTTTCACAAGACTTTCTCACAATGTTACACCAGGATATTCTGTAAAGAGTGAACATATGTCTTGTAATAAGTAATAAGAAAAAAAGGATTTATTTAATAATTTTAGACAACACAGTCACAAATTATCTTGCATATTTGCTGTATATTAAGATGATTCCATTAAGTGACAGTGTGATAAATAAAGTCAAAATAAATAAAGTCAGACATGTGTTTCCTTTTTCTCACAAAGTAGTTCAAGTTTGGTTACAATATTCCTTTGGCAAAATGGCACTATAATCAGCTATAGTTGTTTAACTCATGCTTTCTTTAAAAAAAATCAGGCTGACGAGCCTACTTTTGCTGGATCACCTTCAGCAGCATTTTGTGCACAGTGCTCGACCTGCCTGCAGTGTCTGGTGGATGCCTAAATTGTGCTAATGAAAGTATTATGTGCTAATAACTCTAGCAATACAGCTTTCAAGTTTGTTAATAATACATTGGCAAAATCTTTGCAGTTCTTTTTTGGACTTAATATAACTCCAGCAAGATAGCAAAACAGTTGTGCAATTCTAGTTTATGGTCACTAATATGTAAAACTTATGCTAGCTAGAGTCAGGGAAACTTCAGTGAAACACTTTGTGTCTTTATGATGAAGATATAACTAAATAGTATTTTGAAGGTAATATGCTAATAAGGACCTTCTTACCCCGTAGACCTAACTTTAATTTTCACTTCAAAAGAAAAAAAAAAATGTGTTGCATATTACAATATTAAGTTGTCAACCACCAGAGGTTCATCAGAAAGGAGATTGAAACGGCTTGTCCTCACTCAATACTGAGTTTACTTATGTCTGTAACTCGTTGGCTAATGTGGCACGATTTAGTGTTTTGTGATTCAACAAGGAAATTGCGGTCATCTTACATTATTTGAGTGACAGTCACCAACGACATTGTGTTTTAGTAGTTGTGTTGGTAAGTTATTAATCTCAGCACAAGTTTTCTGACTGTAGCTTTGTTTGATCAATATTTAAACACACAATCATGTAGGGAGGGACCTTTTATTCAGCTCTGTGTATTTAACCTTTTTCAGTTTTTCCCTCATGCTTCACTTTCATAGACTTGGATCTTGCAATATGGAAGTTTTATTTTATAGAATATGGAATATTTTATGATTCTTTAAATTCAGTAAACCATCCTTTTGATGTAAAAAGATGTGCAGGTGAAGCACTGGATATCAAGAATGACATCTCACCTGAGTATCTCCAGTTTACAGTGTGGACTCTTCAGTACAGCAGAGAGTAGCTCTGTTCCAGAATCCTGAAGGTCACCGTTCCTGAGGTCCAGCTCTTTCAGGGAGGAGTTAACTGGATGTGAAGCTGATCCCAGATTTTCACAAGACTTTCTCCTAATATTACACCAAGATAGTCTGCAAAGAGTGAATACATATTTGAAAGAAAATTACACATTAGACATGATCTTGCATATTTGTAAATCACTAAATTGTTCCATGAAGTGGAATAATATGTTACTTTGTTCACTTAATATGTAAACTCTGCTAAATTCCAATTTCTTGTCAGTTTGCTTTATATTTTCTTGTCATGCTTTCAGCCACTGGTGCCAAATCCTGGAGAGCTAGACTGTGTACCTGTTCTAAGGTGAACTCATTAATGACTGCTGATGATGTTAAAGCAGTGAACTGTATAAAACTGTATAAAACACTAGCTGTGCAGGGCTGTGGCCAAAAAAATGTAGTGGCTCCCATTCCTGATCCTGCAGTACCCAGGGGCAGAGCTACTCCAGTTTCAGGATCAGGAATTCCATCACCAAGGGTGCGGTTTACAGTAGAGTGAATGTTTTTTTTTGCTTTCTGTGACTTTCCAATAGACTTGCAGACACTTGGTAAAAAAGGAAAAAAAAGACTGGCAAGCCTACTTTTGCTGAATCAACATCAGCAGCCTGGCATTATGTGCAGTGTGCTCAACCTGCTGCAGTGTCTGGTGTATGCCCAGATTTTACCAGCCAGAAATATTCTATCATAATACCTTTTGATATTTGTAGTAAGAATTAAAAGACACAGGATATTTAGTAAAATAAATCAATATGAGACTCTAACAGACTCTAAAATAATTTCTACATGCACACACACTCAATCATGTGTAAAGTCAAACACATTATAATTTTTTCTTAAGAGTGTAAAAATAACAGCAGTAACCAATAACACTAGCTAGTTTTTGTTCCTTTGGAAATCTCTTTACAGCTCTTTTTTTGTATTTCACATTTGATTTGTAAAACTGAATGGTTTGTAGTTATGACACATGTGGATGTTACTCTGGTAAGCTGCAAAACTCACTTTCCTATGCCCAGACTAATTACGTGTAATACTGGAAATATATTTCCAGAGCCACTGCCAATTCTCTACTTTCTCATTTTGTCGGCCCCCAGAGTTTATCATAAAGTTGGTTGGAACAGCTTGTCCTCACTCAAAGCTAGGTTAACTTTGGTTTGCAGCTATCTGGCTAAAGTGTCATGATTTAGTCAAATGTGTTTGAATGTGTTATTTGCTTAACTCTGTTTAGAGTGCAGGGACCAACAACATGGGCATAGATCGACACAACTGGTCAGGGTGAGGGAGCAGCAACAATTTTCAAGAACACTTTTTAAATGCTTTTTAAAGGCTTCCTATAAAATGTAAAATGAAAAAAAAATATATATATATATATATATATATATATATATATATATATATTATAAGTGCCATATGCATTGATGGACTGCCTGGCTAAGTATTAGCACTCAGTACAATTCTAGTATTCCATCTGTAAACTCTCATAAGCCTAAAGGACAATAGACTATAGAACAGTAAATAGTATATTTTAACTCTGCTGTGACGGCTGATCCTGATGCAGCCACAGAATTATGTGAAAATGTTAATTAATTTGTAACAACATTGACAGTATAAAATTACATCTCTCCCCATGACTATGACCTTCCAGAGTTCATCATAAGTTTAATTCTTAACAAGACTAAGCCTGTAAGTTTTCCTTTCGTTTAGGCCTTTATATTATTCTATTCTTCTACATACTAGTAGATTCCTCTACATTCTTCCTTTAGAGTACTGTTTGAAACTGTTAGCCCAAGTCTCGCTTATTCACCATAAATAGCTCTTTAGTCAATGGTATTGCTCCATCTTGTTTTAAGCATGCGGTAGTCCAGCCTGATCAGAAAGCTAATTCATTACCCAATAATTCTCAAATATTTCAGGCCCATTTTAAAAACTGCCAATTTTATTGAAAATCCTAGAAAATTTTGTATTTTACCAGCCCTGCTCTTATTCAGTGAGCAGTAATATTCAGAAGATTTCAGTCAGGTTTCAGAGCACATCATAGTACAGAGTCTGCCCTCTTTAAAGTGTCTAATGACTTGCTGTTGTCTGTGTGGGAACTCAGAGAACCCTGTTCTACAAATTAATGCCAATATTTTTTTCATGTCATTAACACATTATACTTGTGCCCAGCTGCTTGAGGGCTGTTGCTATGACTCTGCCACTGTAGCCTCTCATTTAATTGTAGATTTACAATGGCAGCTTTCACTGATTCACTCATAACGATAAAAAAAAAATTGGTGCAAAATTTACACCCGTCACAAGAGGACAAGTGGGACTCATAGCACTAATCAGTTCCATAAAAGATTTGATTCATTGTTAGTAAGGGAAAGGCTTTCACTGTAAGCATGGATGAAATTATGTTTTGTTTATGTCCAGTCTGAAGTAGTTTGTTATGCTATAATGAAGTTTATGTGTAAAAGAATGTTACACAGCTTTTGATTCTATTTGTGGAATGACATCTACTACATTTTCATTTCATTTCTATCCTCTTGTGTGTTATAGATGGACTGAGGAGTTGGTAGACCCCAACTTAAAACTCAAACTCAAAAGATCCAACTGAAAGGAAATTCAAACATAGAGCTACAGGAATGGAGCCACACTGATTGACCACATCAACTACATCACTTAAAGACAGTTCACTCTAAAAGGACGTGTTGGGACTTGTTGATGGTGCCCCTCGACTTCCATGGTGGTGCCAAAACACTGGACTCAGAGCACCAAACCGGTGAGTGTCACCCAATATATCTGATAGGGGAAAACATTTGTGCATATTTAGGAATGACAAATTTGTGATGTTATCTGTGCAGAGATAAAGATGCTAGTTAGAGTCCATCCCTCAGTTATTTGCAGGGCTGTTGGCTGTTCACCTAGGTTTTTTATTATTATTTTTCTATTTAGTGTTTTTTATGTAGTAGATTTTCTTTTTTTCACAGACAGTTCATGCATTTTCTCTCTTGCACGTTCACTTTCTCTCTCTCACACACTCTCTCTGTCTCCCTCTCTCTCTCTCTCTCTCTCCTAATGTTATAGTCTATAGCTGCATTTAGAATAGCTCTGGAGTTCGAGGAGTGAGTGAATGTGCTCCTGAATGAAACCATGGATGAGGAGAATGATGTGTAAATGGGGCTACAGCTCCAGAAACACATTCAGAAATCAATTTACAGAAAACTCACCTGAGAATCTCCAGTTTACAGTTTGAACTGTTCAATATAGCTGAGAGCAGCTTCCCTCCTGAGTCCTGCAGGTCAGTGTTACTGAGGTCCAGTTGTTTTAGGGATGAGTTTGTTGATTTCAGAGCAGAACAAAAACTTTCATAGGAGGTCATAGTGAGTTTACAGTGACCTAGTCTACAAAGCAAATAAATACAGTACATATTACAGAGGAATTCAGGATCACAGGAATTTTGGAATATAAGAAAATTAAAAAACAGTACTTTCGTATACTGGGATGCTTCCATTATATATGTTATTCAGAACAGCATAAAACATGGGCTCAATTAGAATTTTTTATATGAATATTTGTACTCTTTTTTCCCTCATAGACTATTGCAAGTACAAGTATAGGGCTAATATACTTAAACTTTTCTGCATACTTGTCAGTATAAGCCAAGTATACTTACATATAGTTTTGTCTAATATATCTTTGAAGTACATAAAAAGTAAACTGAGAGCACACTAACTTATATTTGGTTTAAAAGAAGTATACAAATAGCACATTTGAATAAATTGCAGGACATTGCATTCTACAAATGCATAGATGTAAGGAATTCCTTTTACTTTGTAGTTCTCTTGCTAGCACCTAAACAGAAATATCCTGCAACGATTGTGAAGCGTCTTGCCAGTGTGAACTACCGAGTTACCATGGATAATGATCCTTTATATCTATATTTTCTAACAGCGTCCATGTTGTTAACCCTTAGAAACCTAAAATTTCAGGGACTTTTTTTGGTATTTTTTGGGTCAATTATAATTACAATTGTAAATGCTAACAGAAATTTGATATCTTTATGAATTTGGATCATTTCTGATCAAAAATTACCTAGTGCCTGCTAAATTTTGTATTTCTTGAAAACAAGTGCAGTAGTAGTTATCTTTTCAGAAATTGTTAGCCTGGAGTGTCTGTGAGCTGAAAGTGCAATAATTTTGATGGTGATTCTTTCTGTTGGTTGAGTAAAAATAAACAATTAGCATAAGGTGGACATGTTGTTTTATTGATTTTCTGTCCTCTTGGACTCATGCTCAGTGCTAAAACTCTGATACACAGCAAGAAAGGCTTTATTTTTTAATTACAAATTGAGTTGCATATTTAATATCAGATACTTGTAATACTCAAAATCAATGTAAACTGAAAGCCCTTTGTTTATAATATGAAAGTTGGGGGCAGGTCTGCTGAATGTCTTGATATGTGGATCATGTTTGTATCTTAAACCATTCTGAAGTTATGAAGGCTAGAAGTTACCTACTGTTTTGCCCTCCGGGTCCTATGGGTTAACCTGACAATTTTTTTACAGCCACTCTTTTGTCTGAGGTGGGGAGCAAGTATGGGTATATAACTACTGCCTGTGCTTAGGCTGTCTCTGTGTATGCAAAAGCTTTTCTAGATACACAAGAGGGCCACTGGGAGTCAAAGCCATAGTCATTCAGTTCCATAAAAGGAGTGATTCAGTGTGAGTCAGAGCAGCAAACTATAAAGAGTTTGTTGCTGCTCTCTTGTTTTAAAGTCCTTAAACTGAGAAAACAAAGGTTTTTATGCTCACTGTAAATAGAATGTAAATGGAAGAAATGATGTTTCATTTATGTTCATTCTGAAGTATTTTGTTATGCTTTAATGAAGATTGTGTAAAATAACTTCACAAAGCTTTTGATTCTATTTGTAGAAGGACTTCTGTTACTACTTTTCCTTCATTTCATTTTTATCCTCTTTTCTATTATGAATGGACTGACGAGCTGGGAGTCCCTGACTTAAAGCTCAAACTCATAGGATCCCATTGAAAGGAAATTTGAACATGGAGCCTGTGTTTTGGGTTGTTTTCCTGTTTTTCAACTTGCCCCTTTGCCTGACCCCTTATTGGACTGCTTGCCTGGTTATGTTTGTGTTTTTTTGTATCTCTGTGTTTTTTTTTTTATTTGACCTGTGCCTGTTTCCTGACTACGAATGTGGATTGTGATGTCAACAGTAAAGCCTCTCATGCACTTTTCACCTGCAAGCATCTGCGTCATTCTGTCACGTTACAGCAGGGCTGTTGGCTAGGAATGTAATGGACTGGGGCTCAACCCAGTTAACTGTAGGATTGTTTTGGGGGTTTTCTTACCTAAAGATTTTCTTTTTCATTTTTTCTAAAATCTCTAAAACGTACAATTTTACTTTTTTGTATAATATAAGGATCCACACCTCAACAAAACCTGCATGCATTTAGAATTGACCATTGTGGTGTCTTGCAAACAAAATCATTAAAAGACAAGAGAAAAGTGAAAACACTGCTTGTAACAGAAAGGGCGTGTCACTAACAGTGTTGTTTCCCTAATAATGCCATTCAGTCCTCTCCACTTTTCCTTTCTCTCCATATCAACCATGTCTTCTACACATCTAACAGATAAACCTTTTTGCCCATAGATTTTATATATTTTACTGATACTTTAAAGTGCTATATATTCAATCAATAAAATTGTTCTTAAAACCACATTAGAAACCATATTTTAAATATAAACATCATGCTTAAACAAACCAGTCCATCTAGGTCATTTTGTGAGTGTCTTGATTAACATTTTACAAGTCTACCCAACTGCTCAGGTTTTGGCCAGTGAAGGCCATTTTTTCTGCACAAAATCAGGCTTGTTGTTACAAACATTCCATGCATTCATGCGTTTTCTCTCTTTATCTCTCTCTCTCTCTCATAATGTTGTAGTCTAAAGCTCCATTTGGAAAAGCTTTGGTAATGATCAGAATGCCATAAGAACGAGCAGGGGTGAAACTTGTGATATGTTAAGAGTATAAGGTTTAGAGCTAGTTAGAAAATATTGAGCGCTGTAGCATTCTGTTGTAGTATTTTGTATTATGTTGTACTGTAGTATTTTTAGTGCACAGTTTACTCTGCCTTAACAGCTTAAACTTTTCCATTCGTAAATGAATTTACAGAAAGCTCACCTGAGTATCTCCAGTTTACAGTTTGAACTCTTCAATCCAGCACAGAGCAGCTCTGTTCCTGAGTCCTGCACTTCAGTTTTACTGAGGTCCAGTTCTTTCAGGGGTGAGTTTGATGATTTTAGCGCAGAAGAGAGAGCTTCACAGGAGTTTGTGGTGAGTTTACAGCCAGCTAGTCTACAGGGAAAATGAATACAGTACATATTAAAGTTAAAAGAGAGAATGAGGAATTCAGCCTCACAGGAATCAGGAATTATGAGACTTTTAACACTTTTATATATTGCAGGTGTTTCAATTATACATTTTTTTCAAAAGAGCATAAATAATGGCCTTAATCTGAATATTTGTTTTATGTGACTACTTTCAATAATATTTGTACTCTTTCTTTCCCTCATGGACTTTTGCTCTGAAACTAAACTTTCTTTGCTCTTCCTTTCACTTCAGTAGGCAGGCATGGGGCAAGGGGTACATTACAGCCAGCGAGAGAGGAAGAAACACACACACGCACATACAAACACAAACACAAACACACACACACAAACACGCACACACAGTGAGTGACTCTGGACACAGAGTACAAGCGAGAACACCAAAATAGATTAGACAGTGTTTTTGCTTTCGTTTGTGTTTTCTACTCTTTGTTTTTTGTTTTACACACATCCTTCTCTTTTTCATTTCTGTCTGCACTTGAAATCCCATCTGTGATATAATAAATAAAACTTTTGCATGCATCCTGCCTGCTTCACTTGTTTTTTTTCTACTACTGTGTTGCACATACCAAAATACCAAAAACAGACAAAAAGTATTTCTAGAACCACCTGTACAGTTTCAGCCATCAAAAACCTAACATTTCATCACTTTTTTCCAGTACTGCAATAAAAAACAGCAAATATCGTTAAACATTTAGCATGTTTCATCTGCTTCGACCAGCATGGAGCAGTTGTTTTTTTTTCCCTTACTCTTTGTAGTTCTCTGACCAGCACCTAAATAGAAATGTCCTGCAAAGTTTGTGAAGCTTCTTGCCAATGTGAACTACAGAGTCGCCAGAATAACGATACCACATATCTATATTTTCTAACAAAGTCCACGTTTTTAACCTGACAAAGTTTTATATGACCACTCCTTTGTCTACAGTGGGGAGCAGGTATGGGTATATAAATACTGCCTGTAGTTAGGCTGTCTCTCTGTATGAGAGTCAGAGTGGCAATCTGTAAAAAAAAAAAGGGTGTTGCTGCTCTCTTTTTTTAACGTCCTTACATTAAGAAAACAAAGGTTTTTATGCTCACTGTAAGTATGGATTAAATTTTATTTTGTTTATGTTAAGTATGAAGCATTTTATTATGTTTTAATGGAGATTATGTTTAATGGAACATACACAGCTTTTGATTCTGTCTGTAGAAGTACTCTCTCTTTCTCTCTCTCTCTTTGTCTCTCTCGCTCTTTCTCTCACAATGTTATATTTTATAGCTGCATTTGGAATAGCTTTGGAGTTTGGGGAGGTGTGGAATGTGCCCCTGAATAAAACCATGAATGATGAGAATGATGAGCAAACTAGCTGAGGTGAAACTTGTGATGTATTAATGTTCTCTGCTAAGCTTCAGAACCTGTAAACAAATATTCAGGGCTGTAGCATTTTGAATATTCGTTGGTATTTTGAATGCACAGCCTTAACAGTTTTACTTTTTCCATTCAGGAATGAATTTACAGAAATCTCACCTGAGTATCTCCAGTTTACAGTTTGAACTCTTCAATCCAGCACAGAGCAGCTCCATTCCTGAGTCCTGCAGGTCAGTGTTACTGAGGTCCAGTTCTTTCAGGGGTGAGTTTGTTGATTTCAGAGCAGAACAGAGAGTGTCATAAGAGTTCAAGATGAGTTTGCAGCCAGCTAGTCTACAAGGCAAAAAAAAATACAGTACATATTACAGTTAAACAAATAATGAGGAATTTAGGCTCAGAGAAATCAGGATTTATGAAATGCAGAAAACAGCACTTTAGACATTTTAGGGGTGTTTTCATTACATACATTACTCAGAAGAGCACAAATAATGGGTTCAATCTGAATATGTGTCCTGTGTGCACTATTTATTTCCTCATGGACATCTGTTACAAAACTAAACTTTCTTTGCTCTTCCTCTGCCTTCAGTAGGCAGGTATGGGGGAAGTGGTACATTACAGCCAGCCAGAGCAGGAGAAACACACACACACACACACACACACACACAATTGCAGTGGAGTGAGTGATTCTGAACACAAGCGAGTACAAGTGAAAGCACAGAGATAGATTATTTTCTCCAACTGCATCTTTTTACCTGTCTGTATTTATTTACTGTACCTCGTCTCTCTGCGTAGCACTGTTTTGTAAACAATGTTAGCTTCTCCTGTAACCATGAGCTTCATTAATTTCACACAATCATTGCATATTTTGTTTTATGTTCCTGTTTTCTAGTTTTTGTCTGCTCTTTGTTTTTTTCATCTACATATACTTGGGCTTGACATTTCTGCTGCACTGTAAATTTCACTCTTGAATTGGACTTAATAAGCAAACTTATGCATGCAGCCTACTTGCTTCATATAGTGGATATTATTTAACACAATTTCCATAAATCTCTACAAATATGCATTTGTAGAAAACAGGATGTTTAAGCAGTTTACATCTGTATGTGTTGGTAATCCTGTGCTTGAATAGTCATAAAATAAGCATGTTATTTTTGTTATTATTAATAAAAAATTCATAACAGTAGTAGTATAATTATTAACATAATTATAAAGGACACAATGGTCATTTAATTTACATTCAGTAAACATACCAATTTCCACCATCTTACGTCTGTTTTCAGTTTGTCATATGTACTTCTATTTTCTATACAAATATTTTTTTTACCACAGAATAAAAACAAATAGCAAAGTCTTTGACCAATAGGAGAGTAATGATATCAAAACAGTAGTGAAAAATAATTTGAAAAAAAAAAGGAATGTTTAAAGCATGAAAATGTGTCTTTTGCCATCTTTTGTGGAAACCACTGATGATCAAAACTAGGCCTTGGGGTGAATCCTACCAGAGTATGGTGGGAAGAGAAAAGGGCTGGGTTATGTTATGCACAAACTCTACTCTTCTAACTAGGCTTTATTTCTTGAATCACTCTCTCATTCTAGGAGTTGATTTTTTTTCTGTTTTGCAGCTGTCGCAGCAGGCATTGGATGTTCTGTTTGGCAACTTTTATTTATCTGAGCCAAACCAATCTACATATTATATATACATTTAGCTCTAAAGAATCAAGACACAAAATATCAAAACTCAAATTCGCTCTTGATCACATAATTGAAAATAACAAAGAACCTGAAAGTTGTGTATTATATTACACCTACACTGAACATCCCTAATTTATACACTGAGTTGCCAGTTTGCTGCCTTTTAACTTGTATGCGCACTTTGTTAGCCATCCTCTCCCCAATAAATAGAAAATATATGTGGCTATTTGTATTTTTTAGCAATCAATATACAAATATTCAAATATATTAAATAAATGCAACACTCACACAGCCTTTTTACAGTTGCTCACAGCTGGGATCAGTCTCAAATATCCACTCTCGTTTGTGTTGTATTTCTTCAGGTTCAGCTCATCCAGCACCTGCTCTGAGGTCACAAGCATGTAGGCTAGTGCTAAACACTCTCCAGCAGAGAGATTCTTTGTTGAGCCTTTATTGGATTTTAGATACTCCTGAATTTTTCTGGATAAAGTCTGGTCATTCATTTCAGTAAGACAGAGGAACAGGTTAATGGATTTCTCAGAGGAAAGATTCTTTGTTGGTATTAGGCGTTTGATGTACTGAACTGTTTTGTTAATACTATCTGAGCTGCTCACTGTTTGAGTCAGAAGATCTTTTAAGAGCTGTTGATTGGACTCCAGTGAAATTCCCAGCAGAAAACGGAGAAATAGATCAAGGTTTCCATTCTCACTCTTTACAGCTTTTTGTACAGCTCCCCTTAGCAGATCTTCCAATGAAACACTGTCAGACTGCTTTTTGTTCTTTATCTTAAAAACTTTCAGTTCTTCCATGTTCTGGCTAACATAGCAGTGAAACACATAGAGAGCAGCCAGGAACTCCTGAAAGCTCAGATGAACAAAGCAGTAGACCTTCCTCTGGTAGAGCAAAAATTCTTCTCTAAAGATCTCTGTGCAAATGCCAGAGTACACTGAGGCCTCAGAGGCATCAATGCCGCACTCTCTCAGGTCCTCTTCATAGAACATTACATTGCCCTTCATCAGCTGTTTGAAAGCCAGTTCAGCCAGTTTCAGAAGCAACTTTCTGTTGGATCCCAAGAGATCCTTTGGATTTCTCTCAGAATTGTCCTCATACTTCTCATTCCTCATGATTGTCTGAGTGCACAGGAAGTGTGAATACATTGCAGTCAGGGTTTTAGGGATTTCTGTAATACCCTGTTTCATTATGTGCTGAAGAACAGTGGCTGAGATCCAACAGAAGACTGGAATGTGGCACATGATGTGGAGACTCCTTGTTTTCTTAATGTGTGAGATGATGAAGTTGGCTTGGTCTTGGTCACTGATTCTCTTCCTGAAGTATTCCTCCTTCTGTGGGTCATTGAATCCCTGAATTTCTGTCACACGGTTGATGTACTGACGAGGGATCTGATTGGCTGCTGCTGGTCGAGAAGTTATCCAAACGTGAGCAGAGGGAAGCAGCTCTCCTTTGATGAGGTTTGTCATTAGCATATCCAGTGGCGACACCTTGGTTATATCTGACAGGTTCTCACACTGTAAGAAGTTCAGTGGAATTCTGTTTTCATCCAGGCCATCAAATATAAACACCATTTTACACTCATCATATATCTTTGTTTCCAGGTCTCTGAGCTCAGGATGGAAGTCACACAGAAGTCTCTGAAGACTGTACTGGTGATCTTTAATCAGGTTCAGCTCTCGGAATTGAAGCACAAACATCAAATCTACATCCTGATTGGCTTTTCCTTCAGCCCAGTCCAGAATGAACTTCTGCACAGAGACTGTTTTTCCAATGCCAGCAATTCCTTTAGTCAGCACAGCTCTGAGTCTGTGAACTTGTGGACCTTCATCTTCTTCTCTTTCTTCAGCCATCACAGTTCTGATGCTGTCTTCTTCCATTTCTTCTACAGTGCAATGTACAGGTTTAAAGATATCTAAGCAGTTAATTGGTGTATCCTGCCAGTGTTGGTCCCAGAGTGTTTTTTCAATCTGTAAAACTTCATGTTCTTCATTCACTCCTTCACTCTCTCCCTCTATGATGTAGAGCTGAGTGTAAATCCTGTTCAGGAGGGTTTTATTCTCTTGTGTTTTGAATCCCTCAAATAAGCTCTCATACCTGTTCTTCATGCTGGTTTTGTGTCTCTCTATGACTCTGTGCAGGACATCACACACTGCTTCCTTCTTCATGGACTCCTCTATGGGTTGATGTAGAACAGGACGTGTCTTAGACCTCTTCCTGCAGCGTGGACAGGCAAAGTCTCCTGACTGAGCAGACTGGTTCCAATAGCTGTTGATGCACTGTCTACAGAAAGTGTGTCCACAGTTGATAGAGACTGGATCTGTCTGAATCTGCTCACACACTCCACACTTGGACTGATCCTGATGTGATGCATCCCTCCCACAGCTAGAGAAAAGAGAGAGAGAATGGAAGAGTGAGAATGAGTGTGAGATCACAGCATCATCCAATTACATTAGAGCCACCAGCAAACAGTCAGAGATATTTTCCTTTTCACAAATACTGACTGAGAGTCTAAGACAGTCTAAGCTTCAGTTGCTCTACCTACGTTAAAATACAGCATCAGCCACTCTGTTATCTGCAACATTTTTCTCCTTTTCAGGACGGCAGGTAATGTGGTTCTACCTCTCTACCCCTAAGGCTCTTAAACCTGAAAATTTTTTATTTTTTTTTACTTGTCAGAAGCCTACACACAATGGTTACTGTAACCTACATAAAACTGCTGACTCGCACTGCTACAGAATGTTCTGACAATATATTAGGACTGATGTAGGATAAGTAGTAAAGTAAAACATAGGCCGTGAAACAAATATGATTTATTTATCTTAAAGCCACACACAACACATCTGACATCTACACCATCCAACTTCATCCAAAAATCTGTCATCAATTCAAAATACTAGCATCAATTGACAATTTTCACTGTACCACCACTCCTGTGTTCAAGTCAATAATATTTTTTTCACAAACAACACTCATAAGTTCCCAGAATACCTTTACCAGTTATGTGTAGCCTTTAAAATATTAATAGATACAGACTTTGAAAGGAATTTTACCAGGATAAAAAATTTGCTAAATTTGCCATGAACATTGATTCCATACTTCTTAAAATTATTATTACACTGTTCTTCAAAGGTCAGGACCCCCACAGGACCACTACAAAGCAGGTATTATTTGGATGTTGGATCATTCTCAGCACTGCAGTAACACTGACGTGTTAGTGTTGTGTTAATGTGTGTTACGCTGGGGGAGTCCTAACTAGTGGGTGGAACTGGATATGACTAAATTGGGGAGAAAATCGGGAAAAATAAATGTAAAAATTTATGTAAATCTATACTGCATAAGTTAACTCTGAATGCAATTACAAAAAATATGAATGACAATTGTTTCTAAAATTTTAGAAGTATTTGTGATGCCAAATACCCTACCTAACTACCTACCTGTGCCTACCTATGAAATATGACAGTACCATAATCAGCTCAGCTACCTAAGACAATCAAATGCAATCAAAACAACAGGTCAACAGGTCAACCGTCACCTTCACAGGTTCTTTCCCCAGACCATCATGTTCCAGAGCAAGGAGCCTTCTCAGACCCCTCTGCTATAAACTGCTGCTGTTGTCAGTGCACATATGCACTTTATTACAATATACATATTTTGTAAATGTTTGCATTTACATTATATTTATATTTGTTGTTCATTTCTCTTAGCTGTTTATACTGTATATACAGTGGGGTGCGAAAGTTTGGGCAGCCTTGTTAATTTTCCTGATTTACCTTTATAAATCATTGATTGTTTAGATAAAAAAAATTCTGTGAAATATATCATATAGGGGACAAACACAGTGATATTTGAGAAGTGAAATGAAGTTTATATGATTTACAGAAAGTGTGCAATAATTGGTTAAACAAAAGTAGGCAGGTGCATAAATTTGGGCACTGTTGTCATTTTATTGATTTCAAAACTTTAGAACTAATTATTGGAACTGACATTTGGTTTGGTAAGTTCAGTGACCCTTGACCTCCATACACAGGTGACTCCAATTATGAGAAAGGGTATTTAAGGGGGGCAATTGTAAGTTTTTCTCCTCTTTGCATCTTCTCTGAAGAGTCGCAGCATGGGAGTCTCAAAACAACTTTCAAATGACCTGAAAACAAAGATTGTTAACCGTCATGGTTTAGGGGAAGGATACAGAAAGCTATCTCAGAGATTTCAGCTTTCAGTCTCCACTGTGAGAAACATTGTGAGAAAATGGAAGACCACAGGCACAGTTCAAGTCAAGGCTCAAAGTGGCAGACCAAGAAAAATCTCGAATAAACAGAAGCGAAGGATGTTGAGAACAGTCAGAGTCAACCCACAGACCAGCACCAAAGACCTACAACATGATCTTGCTGCTGATGGAGTCACTGTGCATCGTTCAACTATTCGGCGCACTTTACACAAGGAGATGCTGTATGGGAGAGTGATGCAGAGGAAGCCTTTTCTCCGCCCACATCACAAACAGAGCCGCTTGAGGTATGCTAAAGCATATTTGGACAAGCCAGCTTTATTTTGGAATAAGGTGCTGTGGACTGATGAAACTAAAATAGAGTTATTTGGGCATAATAAGGGTCATTATGCATGGAGGAAAAAGAACACAGCACTCCAAGAAAAACACCTGCTACCTACAGTAAAATTTGGTGGTGGTTCCATCATGCTGTGGGGCTGTGTGGCCAGTACAGGGACTGGGAATCTTGTTAAAGTTGAGGGACGCATGGATTCCAATCAATATCAGCAGATTCTGGAGATCAATGTCCAGGAATCAGTGACAAAGCTGAAGCTGCGCCGGGGCTGGATCTTCCAACAAGACAACGACCCTAAACACTGCTCAAAATCTACTAAGGTATTCATGCAGAGGAACAAGTACAACGTTCTGGAATGGCCATCTCAGTCCCCAGACCTGAATATTATTGAAAATCTGTGGTGTCACTTAAAGAGAGCTGTCCATGCTCGGAAACCATCAAACCTGAATGAACTAGAGATGTTTTGTAAAAAAGGATGGTCTAAAATACCTTCAGCCACAATCCAGACTCTCATTAGAAGCTATAGGAAGCGTTTAGAGGCTGTTATTTCTGCGAAAGGAGGATCTACTAAATATTGAGTTAAGGTTTTTTTTTTGGTGCCCAAATTTATGCACCTGCCTAATTTTGTTTAGACAATTATTGCACACTTTCTGTAATTCATATAAACTTCATTTCACTTCTCAAGTATCACTGTGTTTGTCCCCTATATGATATATTTCACAGAATTTTTTTTATCCAAACAATCAATGATTTATAAAGGAAAATTAACAAGGCTGCCCAAACTTTCGCACCCCACTGTACATCCCTCAGTACTCCAGTACTTGATTGTATTTATACTTATCTCCCACTGTACATCCTTTTGCTTGCAGTTTGTTTGTGCACTGTCCATTTTATGTTTATGTGGAGTATATGTTTTTCTACATACATTTTATTGGGTTTACTTGAAACATTCACCAAGAGAAATTCCTTGTACATTTGCTACTTTATGAATAAAGATTCTGAAATTCTGAGATAAAGTATTTGAGATTTTTTAAGGAAATACCCAAACACATTTTAAAGTTTAAATAATGTCCTGTATTTGAATACATGAAGTTAAAGCTCAGTCATAAATGAACAGGCTGAACAGAAACCATACATGTAAGTATGCAGAGAGTGATTATGCATAATTAAAGTTACTCAGTGCTTTTTAGGTTTCAGTTTGGGCAAAATCAGCTTTAAGGACATGATGAAACTAGGAAGCAGAAGAAGAAGTAGTTTTGTAAGCAAATGCCAAACATGCTGATGAATCTGATAGCTAGACAGAACTTAAAACAGAATTTAACAGAATTTAAGAGATAATCTCAGACAGTGTTGGGTTAATTTGATACCTCCTGACAGAGAGCAATAGCCTACAGCAGTAGCTAGCTAGCTTGATATGTCTGAGTGCTCATGTTTGTACAGGTGGCTTTTTTCTGACTGATCTGTTGCTTCTTTGTTGATAGTTATTTTGAGTATACTTAACTCCACTTTCTCTCCTCTTATCCATTTTGCAAAGATGCTGTAGGATAGTTGGATAACAGCTAGCAAGCTCACCAGCTAGTACTGCTGCACATCTCAGGTCTGATTTTTTATTACACGCATGCTTTGAAAACTCATTTTCGACCAAAGAGACGTAGGAGGGGGTTTGCTGACATCTGAATAGATGTGGTTGTGCTGTGCTCCAGTTTAGTTCATCTTTGCATCTGGCTCGACCATACAGGCCCACTGACACTGAAAGCTCTAAGACTCCCTAATGGGCATTCTGGGCCTTTTGATTACCATGCAGCCAGGATAATAACTAAATAATAGCTGAATATCTGACTAGTCTATGTGCCATACAGATGTTGGATACTGTGATGACAAAAAGAGCAACAATAAATTATTAGTAGACAGCAAACATGACAACATTCTGCAGATTGGATAAGCATTTTGCCAGCTGTTTGTTTGTGTTAGCACTACAGTCAATCGTGGCCGGGAGTCCAAGAGAGCACAATCGCCTCGCTCTCGCTGGGTGGGAGGGATGACCACCCCCACCCCCTAACCCCACTCCAGCTTTACATTCACATCATATACTCTAGCATATTGTTGTCTCACCTCTGGTCCGTACTGGTTCTTTCATTACTCAATGAAAGACTTTAATATTGATATCAGAAGAACTACATCAGACAGCTGCTAATAGATGAAAAGTAAATAACACATTTTTAGACATCATTGGTTACCAGGGCTGGTCAGGGACCATTATTCAGGCTGGTAATGTAGGTCCATCTTAAGCCACACACACACCTTTATAAATTGTACGTATGGATGTATATATTTTCAAGAAATTAATACAAATTTTGTTGGGAGTCCAATGATTCTAATCTTCTGCTAGTACTGTACAACATCTTAGGTTTCAAATTATTATTAAATATATTATCTATACATGTTAATATTATTAATAAACTATTTATTGAAACTCAATTGATTCTCAATTGTTTCGGGGTTAGTAACAGTACTCATACCTGGATTAGTTTAATGACGAGGGTGAGGATTACGTTTAGGTATTGGGTTGTGGTTAGGGTTCGTGTTAAGGTCAGGTTTGGGGTTTGGGAAAATTAAGGTGAATTAAATAGACATTTTATTGAATGTAAGATAAATGAAAGATAAGCATCTATAAAGCATTTAGTTGGCTATCCAAATAAAGTGTTACCACAGCTGTAGATAAATATAAAATAATTGGGGAAGCTGTACAACCTAAAGAACAAGGTTCTCATAAAATAAATATCCAGATTATCCTTCTAATGCTAATCCTTACTTTATCAGACATCAAATAGTGAAGCAGAAAATGTATAACTTCTGTTTATTTACAATAAGAATTTATTGTTAAATGTTACTTATAGATTATTATTCACAATTTAATAAGGTTTATTTTTCCCAATTACTTGATATGCTGAATCAAAATATGTTTTGGTGTCTATGTAAAATTCTTAGTGATTAAAATGAAAAAAAAAACATGATTGAAGTCATTTCAAACTTTTAAAACCATTTATGTGTAATGTGATGTCAAATACCCTTCCTAACTATGATGCCTATTTATGAAGTATGACAGTATATAAGCAGTGCCATAATTAGCTCACTTACCTAAACCTGTGTAATTAATGAATTAAAACAACAGATTTTTTGAGAAAACACATTTTCAAAGAAAAAATAAAGCTGTTTTTTGAATACTTGGATATGTGAACCTAAAGCTCAGTAATACCAATAAACAGGCTGAACATACACCAGAAATGTCAGTAGGCATAACTGAAGATAATCAGTTCTTTTGAGTTACTATTTGAGCAAAATCAACTATAAGCAGGCCTACCCTGCCCATTAAAAGGACAGGGAGATTTCCCAGTGGCCTTGATGAACTGAACTTGAGCACAGCACAGTCACATCCATCCAGGTGTCAACAAACCCCCTTCACTCCCTCTCTGCCCCAGTCTATCATGATACTGGTCTAAAATGACTTTTCAAAGAATGTGTGTAATAAATGGCCTCAGATCTGAGTTGTGCAGCAGTACTAGCTGGTGAGATTGGTAGCTCAGTTAGTCAACAAGCCTACTGTGTCTTTGCAAAAAGAGGAGCTGAGATGAAAAGGTATGCTCAAAATAACAATCAACAAAGGAGCAATAGATCGGTCAGAAAAAAGCCAGCTGTACTAACATGAGCACCATATGGCATATCTACCTAGCTAGCTACTGCTGCTTATGTATAGAAACAGCTCTGCTTCTGCTTCCTAGCTTGGTCAGCCAGGGCCAGACTGGGACCAGTATTCAGGCTGGGAATTTGGATGCGACTCAGTCATGAATGATTTCACACAAACACTATACACACACAGCACCTGGGTTATATCTAAAAATAATTAGCATGATATCATCTAGTGCTGCAGACTTACTTTGTATTCTATTTTTAGTTTATATGCTTTGTGAACATTAAGTATTGTAATGAGCATCTTTCTTAAAAACATACAATAAATAATACTGAGTAACCCAAATTTTTTGAAAACTAATTCACTTGTTTTTTTAACAGATGTTAGTGCAAACTTCTGCATTCATGAGCTTCTTCTGGTGTAGATTCATGGTGACGCGTGCCAATTGTGCTTCTTGTTGCAAGCTATTTCCAAAGCTACGCCCACATGTTTTTCTGTCATTTAGTGGAGACACTCTGATATTCAGCTATACATGCTATGAGGAAATACTGTGAATTTTTCTTATGCAGTAAATCACAAGAAGCAGACACAGGGAGAATTTACTCTACACTGAAAAAAAATGAACTTGGCCCTTAGTAAATTTTACATAATAAAATTGTGCATGTTTTTAACAATTTATATGTGTTTTTGCTTCAACTAAATAATAATAAGCAATGTTGAAAACCAGTAGACTAAACATATGAAACATACTTAAAGTGAATTAGAAATAATTATGTTGTGTCAAGGGGTAGAAACTGCGCATGCGCATGCACAACTTTTCCAGAGCTGATGGCAGCCATTTTCTACACCTCGTCTCTGGGAAGATTTGGATTACCTGAGGAAATTCAGTCATCTCACATTTACAAGGTAGGAGACTGTATATTGTCTATTGTTTGTCATTATGGACATCTAACATGTTAATGACATTTACACTGAAAAATACTGGCAAAAACATGAGGTTAAGGGAGGACTTTACATGGCTTAAAATTCGCTAGCTAGCTAACTTAACTAGCCAGCCAGGTTAGTTTAAACCGACGCAGATTCAAAGAACACATAACGATACTCAGTCAGATAATCACTAAACTTACTAAAGCTGACCGCAGGGTTTTAATTGTAAAGGTCAGTGTTTTAATATGGTGTGTCCTTCATAAGTATCTGTCGTGTTGAGGTCCTCACTAAGTTTTCTCATCAACACAACCGTTAGCTAACGTTACTGTGGACCTAGCCTGCTAGCTAGCTAAGTAACGGCACCATTTTCTAAAGTTCACTGCAGACGAGTGCGTTTAGCTGCTGTGTCATTGTAGAGGTACACGCTAAAATATTGTTTAGATGGTTGTAGATGCACACAACGCAGCGTTGGGTATAACATTGATGAAAACGTACAGTTAAGGGACGACTAGCATAGCATAAGGGGCTCACTTCAACACATATATTCGAAGTAAACAGACCTAGCTAGCGTGAGCTAGTTGTGTGTCCTTGATGTGACCTGTAATCATCTTTTCCCACTGAGGAGGCTGTGCTCACTTCGTCTGTGATTTTGGATGTGATATTTGGGTACTAGGTGTCCACAAACCTGTGTAATTTCAGCCTTAGTTAGCTAGCTAGCTCCACCGAGCCTGGGGTTTGGATATGGAGCCTGCTAACGCTATTGTAGCTAGCATTAGCTTAGCAAACACAGCGTTAGCAGCTAGTAGGTTACAGACATCAGTTACCTGGTTTAATTTCAACATTTGTTCATTTAAGACTTAATGCTCTGTTCGATAAACCCAGTTTGCAGTGTGGTATTCCAACATGGACTCTGATACCATTAGCGCAGCTAGCTAGCGTTAGTTAGCTAAGCAAACGTTAGTGTTAGCAGCTAGCTGGCTAACTTAGCTAGTATGCTACAAGCACCATGAAGCAGGTTTAAGATTAATTTCAGCTTTCTGTTCCTTCAACATCCATCGCTTGACTTTGCCCTGTCAGAATTGTCAGTGGAGATTTAGTTTGGCATAATAGAATCCGTTATCTTGTTAATTAGCAAGCTAATGCTAGCTGTTCAGCCCTGTAGTGGAAAAGAGGTTTATGTTTGCCCATAGAACAGCAGAGTGACACTGATCATCATTATAATCAGAATATCATTTTGTATATAAGATGGTGCACACACACACACACACACACACATTCTCACACACACACACACACACACACACACACACACACACACACACACGTATGTATTTTGCTCATGTAACCCCTCGGTCATTGTTACCAAAATGGGGTTTACCTTATGTTTAGTCAACCTGCATTTATGTTAAACATTATGGTCTTCAAGTGCCAAGTGGTAGAAGTAATTATTACATTGCATTACATTACAATTATTACATTACAATATACATTGATTTTGATGCTCAATAATGCACAAACCCTAGACAGGGAAGCCTGATAGCCATATTGATTAAAAGAACCTTGATGTGACTTAAATATCATAGTTGGTTTCAAACTAAAATAATGTTCACAGGATTAAAACAAAGAGCTAAATATGAGTAAAATAATATATTATTGTAAGACTATTAAATTTCAGCCAAAATAATGCAGTGTCATGTTCTGCCACATGGTGGGGTAAAACATTAAGGTAAAGTGATAAAACATTAAAGTAAAGCTTATGTTTAAGATAAAATGTTAACATGGTCTTTCATTTCATTTTATTTAAGTGTCCTCTTTGTTTATAGGTTAAGGCTTAACAAGGTTCTTGAGTGCCATGTTTTAAAGGATTCTCTGGCATGTTCTAAGTGCCAGAGGTAAGCGCATTTTTATGATCCAGATTTGATATTTAACTACGAGGCTATTTGTTTTGTAAAGCTACTTTTTTGTTTTATTGTTCAAATTAGTAATCATTTTTCAGTCTCAAGATGATCATGTGTTTCTTTTGTCTGTTCCTTGTATGGTCGTCAAGTTAATGTACCTTTTTTTTTGAAACAGTTGAAGGTATATTCTAACAAGTGCAATCAATATGTGCAGGTGAAGGATGTCCACAGTAAAAGAGATGCCATCATAAAAGCTCTTTGTGCGCACATCCACAGACTTCTTAAAGGAATGTGAAGCCCAATTTCTTAAAACATATTGAGCAATCTGGGTTCCTTGTCAATCATTGATGATATCTGATTACATCGCCCTGTCACCCAGGCCTAATACACATACACTTCTTAATACAACTGAGGAATGAAATCACTTTTTCTTCATGTCATTTCACACCAGGCTTACAGTCACATCAGCAGAGCCAGACACTTTAGTTATATCAGGTGATCATGTTAATAAACACAGTTTTTTTCAGTTCTTCTTGAGAAACGTCCTGCTCAAACTCACTACCATTTTTTGATTATGTCTCACCTCTGGTCAGTAATAGTTCTTTCATTACTGAAAGGAGGAGGCACAAACATCAAGTTGTTGCTCTTCATAGACACACAGCTGGGCTTTGGAGGTTCTGCTCTGAATGTCTGCACTCTGGACATGTGTTGCAGACACAGAAGAAAAAAAAGCAGATATGGGTACATAACAAAATAAATAAATCACTGGTTTCCATTCACTCAAGATTAAAAGTGTTACCAACAATACTGTAATTAAATAAATCTTGTCATTTTGTTAAATAACATATGCATAATTGAAAGACATAGTGTGAACACTTTTTAAAACTTTCAAGTGGACCAGTCATGCTATCAAATAGTACTGATCAATTCTTCAGCTCCGTAAATAAACATTCAGAAGAAAAATCATGACATATTATGGTACAGCTTTGTAGACACTGATTTTTTTTAGTCTGGAACATGCAATATATTACTTCTAGATCTCTGTGACATTTCTATTTCTGTGATATTCAAAAACATCTTTACTTAGAGTCATTCAAATTCTCCACTTGAAGCTGTTGAAGGTGGTGGTCTCTTTCATACCACTGCATATGTTCCTTGTGTTATTCCTCTTATCCACTTTTCTTATACAGGAGTCTTTATTCACCTTGCGTTTTCTTCTGCTTAAAATCTCTTTGCACATGCTTAACGCCAGGTCTCTTCAAAAGAGATTTCAGGTCGCTGGGGAAATAGTGTATCTCACTCTGTATGCTGTCTTTTACTCATCACCAGTTCCCTCTGCTCATTCACTCGCTAGGAATGTAAATTTTCCGTTGTGACTAAAACAAGGTTTAAATATCCTTTTCTTTACATTTTGTTTGCACTCTCTCTTCTACAGCCAGTTTATCAAATCAGTAGAGCCAGGCACACTAGCTACATCAAGTGTTCAAGCAGGTAAAAAACTATTAAACTACTCAAAAACTATCAGTGAGAAGAAAGAAACATCCTGCTGGAACTCACTACCATGTTGTTTTACCTCTGGTCAGTAATGGTTCTTTCATTACTGAAATGAGGAGGCAGAAACATTGAGTTGTTGCTCTTCATAGACACATGGCTGGGCTGTGGAGGTTCTGCTCTGCATGTCTGCAGTCTGGAAATTGGATTTCAAAATCAAAGGAGTTCAGAAGCCAGCTAAAGAAGACAACTGCTAATGTAGATGGAAAAGTGAAAAACACATATTTGGAGAACATCATTTATCAAGATTGTACTGGAATGTGGAACCAACCCAGCACACACACACACTTATACTTAATAAAACACTTAAGTAGATGTTTACAATAATGTTGTGCTTATGTCTCACCTCAGGTCAGTATTGGTCTTTTCATTACTGAAATGAGGAGGCAGATACATTGAATTGTTGCTCTTCATAGACACCCAGCTGGGCTCTGGAGATTCAACTCCAAATGTCTGCAGTCTGGAAACGTGATGTGGAAACAAGAGTTTAATAAGGGCATTTCAAAAACAGCTACATCTGACAGCTGATAATAAAGATTAAAAGTGAAAAAAAAAATTATTAAATTAAAAAAAAAAAAAATTACCGGCTTGGTCAGAGATTCAAGACTGAGCATCAAGCAGCGTGTGAGCACTCCTTAAGTAGGTTGCCCACAGCTGCAATTGCTCAGCCCTAATTACTCAGTCCTGGATCTCCGGCCCCTACTAGAGGTCGGAGGAGGCCTAGCAGGCTGCCTGTATGTTACTCTGGCTTTTCCCTAAAGCTCAGGACGGCTAATGTGAAAATGGTCAGGCTGCCCACAGTAGAGACACTGGCCCTCTTGCATGCGAGACTCGTGCTCCTGGCAAGACAGGTGGGTACCTCCTAACTGCATAGGCTGCTTGGGGAGCTTGGGGAGCTTGGGAGATGAAGGAATCAGGGACGAACACGGGGCATTCTGGGATGGTGTCTTATCACAGGAAGGCCTGACGTCCCATTTCTGGAGACGTTCGCACAACCAGTTTCAGGGCTTGTTCAATGAGTTTGTCTAGGGTCTCCGGTACATCCCAAGTGACTAACTCATCTTTTAGCTCATCATTAAGACCCTGTTGATATACAGCCATTAGGGCCTTTCCATCCCACCCACTCTCAGCAGCCAGAGTGGTTGAAAGTGCGCTGCATGGCTGCCATGAATAGTTCTGAGGAGGAACATGTGGTACAGTAGTTGGCTTAGCCAGAGTGTTTCATAATTGCTCCAGTTGGGTTTGCCCTGTGTGAGATTCAAACTCCCGACCCTTATGTTTGTGGTTGGGAGAACAAAGGGACAAACCACCTGGCAGATAATAAGTAATGGACTCAAATGCAGAGCAGCAATGGGTCTGGGAAAGATAAACTTCAAAAGGAGGTGAAAAGCTAAGAGCAGTGGGGAACAAGTTGAATGAAGGGGAACAAACGAAAGAAAACAAAGAAAGTGACTAGTCACGGGAGCTGGGGATTGAACCCCGAATCACTGAGCTCCGGGATTAATGCGCTAAACACCGAGCCACTGAATGGTTAGCAGTCAGGCTAAACTCAAGGGCTTAAAAAGGTAAAAGTTTTTTTTTTTTTTTTAAATACTTACGCTGGAGTTAACTAGAGAAAACAAAAGGCTCAAAACTTGAGGGAGATACCGAAATTGCCAGCTTGGTCAGAGTGTCCTGCACATGGCAGAGAAAACTACAGACTGAGCAGCAAGCAGTATATAAGCAGTCCTTATGTAGGGTGCCCACAGCTGCAACTGTTCAGCCCTAATTACCCAGTCCTGGCTCTCCTGCCCCTCCTAGTGGTCATAGGAGGCCTACCAAGCTGCCTTGACATTACACATTCAGGTAAACAGTTTCACTATCACTGGCAATAAGAAGTGAAGATGTGGTCCATGTGCAAAAAAATGCAAAAGAATGCTTCCTGATGTCCTGCTGAAATTCAGTACCGTGTTCTGATTGCGCCTCAGCTTGGTATGTATCGCTTTCTTCTTCTGTTTCATTTTTCTTTGCAAATGCTTAAACTCAGGTCTCTTTCTCTTTTAAAAGATCTTCTTCATGTTGTTCCAAAGAGATTTCAGGTTGCTTGGGAAACACTCTACTACACTCTCTGTGCTCTCTTTTACTCATCACCAGTTCTCCCAGCTCATTCACTAGCCAGGAAGATACATTTCCCATTGTGAAAGAAATAAGGTTTAAATCTCCTTTTCTTCAAAATTTCTTAACACCAGCTCTTCTACAGCCAGATTGTCAAATCAGTAGAGCCAGACACAATAGGTACATCAAGTGGTCAAAGAGGCAGAAAACAATTCAACTATCAAAAACTACTTTCAGTGGCAGTAAAAAGCAAAAAGAAACATCTTGTAAAAACTCAAGTTGTTTTTACCTCTGGTCAGTACTGGTTCTTTCATTACTCAAATGAGGAGGCAGAAACATTGAGTTGTTGCTCTTCATAGACACATGGCTGGGCTCTGGAGGTTCTGTCTGCAGTCTGGAAATTGGATTTCAAAATCAAAGGAGTTTAGTAGACAGCTACAGAAGACAACTGCTAATGTAGATAAAAACATGAAAAACACATATTTGGAGATCATTAGTTACCAGGACTGGACTGGGACCATAATTCAGGCTGGGAATGTGGAACCAGCCCAGCACACACACTTATATGTTACAGAACACTTAAGTAGATGTTTTCAATAATGTTGTGCTTATGTCTCACCTCAGGTCAGTACTGGCCCTTTCATTACTGAAATGAGGAGGCAGATACATTGAGTTGTTGCTCTTCATGGATAAGTAGCTGGGCTCTGGAGGTTCTCCTCTGTATGGCTGCAGTCTGGAGTTGTGATTTATTGACACAAGAAGAAGAGTTTAGTAATGGACATAAAATGTGGTGTTCCACAAAGATGTTGGATAATGTGATGACAAAATGAGAAATAATAAATTATGAGCAGATAACAGGAATGACAACATTCTACAAATTCTTTGTACATGATTCTAGTTGTTCACTGAATTGAAAGAGCAAAACTTTGTTTTCTTAAGCAAGCAGCAAGAATCACAAAATCACCACTTGTAAGTATGCAAACTTCTTCTACACAGGCCTACAAAAACGAATAATTAAAGTACAGAAAGAGTTCACTGCAGTGCAGAGTACAGAGAGCAAAGAAAGTTCAGGACTAATTCTATAGTCTTATTCTGCAATACATTATTATTTTTTCTTTTTTGTTCATGTGTTTGTTTTCTTAAATCTGAAAAAAATGCATAAACAGTTGCTTCACATCAGCCCAGCTACATCATGGCCTCAGTAGTGCCCAACACAAGTACATCAATAGATCATCCAGGTAAACAATGTCAATGTCACTGGCAGTAAGAAGTGAAAATGTGACCCATGAGCAAGAAAAGGCAAAAGGATCCTTCCTGATGTCCTGCTAAAGTTCAGTACTGTGTTCTGAGTGTATCTCACCTCAAATCAATGTTGCTTTTTCTTCTGCTTCATTTTTCTCTGCAAATGCTTAAACCTCAGGTCCCTTTCTCTTTTAAAAGGCCTTCTTTATGTTGTTCAGAAAAGATTGAGCACAAAGATTGCTCTCATTTACTCATCCCCAGTTCTCCCAGCTCATTCACTATTCAGGAACATACATTTCCCACTGTGACTAAAACAAGGTTTAAATCTCAGTTTCCTCAAATTTTCTTCGAGCTAACTCTTCTACACCCAGATTATCAAGTCTGTAGAGCCAGACACACTGGGTACATCAAGTGGTCAATCAGGCAGAAAGTTATTAAACTATCAAAAACTACTTTCAGTGGCAATAAAAAGCAAAAATAAACGTGCTGCTGAAACTCACTACCATGTTGTGTTTATCTCTCACCTCTGGTCAGTACTGTTTTTTTCATTACTAAAATGAGGAGGCAGATACATTGAGTTGTTGCTCTTCATAGAGACACAGCTGGGCTCTGGAGGTTCTGCTCTGTATGTCTGCAGTCTGGAAATTGGATTTCAAAATCAAAAGAGTTTAGTAGACAGCTACAGAAGACAACTGCTAATGTAGATAGAAACATGAAAAACACATATTTGGAGATCATTAGTTACCAGGACTGGACTGGGACCATAATTCAGGCTGGGAATGTGGAACCAACCCAGCACACACACACTTATACTTAATAAAACACTTAAGTAGATGTTTTCAATAATGTTGTGCTTATGTCTCACCTCAGGTCAGTACTGGCCCTTTCATTACTGAAATGAGGAGGCAGATACATTGAGTTGTTGCTCTTCATGGATATGTAGCTGGGCTCTGGAGGTTCTCCTCTGTATGGCTGCAGTCTGGAGTTGTGATTTATTGACACAAGAAGAAGAGTTTAGTAATGGACATAAAATGTGGTGTTCCACAAAGATGTTGGATAATGTGATGACAAAATGAGAAATAATAAATTATGAGCAGATAACAGGAATGACAGCATTCTGCAGATTCTTTGTACATGATTCTAGTTGTTCACTGAATTGAAAGAGCAAAACTTTAATGTTTTCTTAAAGCAAGTGGCAAGAATCACAAAATCACCACTCATAAGAATGCAAAGTGCAAACTAAAAATAATATAATACTTAAAGCTACTGTAGCACACCTGCAGGCATCTTTTGTGCAGTGTAAAGCTGATTCCCTGAACAGGACTACATACATGAATAAAAGTACAGAAAGAGTTCACAGCAGTGCAGAGTACAGACAGCAAATAAAGTTCAGGCCTCTTCACTTTTTACAAATTGTGTAATTCTGCAGTCTTACTCAATGCATTACTTTTGTTTCTTAAATCTGAAAAAATGCAAAAACAGTTGCTTCACAACAATGTCACTATCACTGGCAGTAAGAGGTGAAGTTGTGGTCCATGTGCAAGAAAAGACTAAAGGATCCTTACTAAAGTCCTGCTAAAATTCAATACTGTGTTCTGATTGTATCTCACCTCAGATCAGTACTGCTGACATTATTGTAATAAGGAGGCTGAAACATTGAGTTGTTGCTCCTTATATACACATAGTTGGTTTCCAGAGGTTCTGCGGTGAATGTCTGCAGTCTGGAAATGCGATGTGGGGACATAAGAAGAAGAGTTTAATGTGGGTATTAGACGACAGCTTCAGTCAATGGTTTAATATTAATGGGAAATTCAGATGACTGGAGATCAATTCAGTCAGGTTTAAATGTGTTGTCCAACAGACTGTGATTACATATATCTAGTCCTCCCACAAAGTTATTAAAAATAAAAGATACTGATGAAGTTAATACAGCAGTCAAAACGCTGGGCTGCTATAACAGGCCACCAATTGCCAACATTAGCTCTTCACATGTCTCACAAAAAATCATAACACACACAATCACGTTTCACTGTAACCAGGGATGTATTGCAAGATGAACACATGTAAACATCATTTACATACCATAGAGAAGTGGAATATACTCAACTTTATAGAGTTTACTGGATTATTTTTAGTTTACTCTCTTAATCTTTTAAAAAATCTCCGTTTCCTCCATTTTCCAATGGTAAGTGATCTTATAATTCATCACGGATTGAGGATCTGCTATTGATGTGGACATTAGAAACTTGCAGAAAGAAACTCTGCCTAATAATCTTACATGAACAAATAAAAAAAAAACTGTTTATATTTTATTAAGTGAGTAAGCTTTGTCAAATGTAACTTATTGATAGATATTGCTATGTTACTATTATTAGCTGTCAGAACGAAAGCTCTCAAGTTTTTAATAAACCAGTTTACAGAGAACACACTGTCCGGTCATCATATAACAGTTGAGGTTCTTGAGGTTTGTGGCAGCCAAAACTGAGTGAAATTAATGTTAAAAAGAGGAGAGCAGTGGTAATAAATATAAAGCGCTAACTCTACATAATGGCTCCAAACAATGGAAAACATATACTGTACAAAAAATAAATTAGTTCTACCTAAACATAATAATCCAGTAGGTTAACATCTTAAAGTGGCAGCACACGGTTATTGTGAAAATTTATTGTACTATGTACAGAATAAGCTAAATGAAAAAAAAAAATCTTTTAAAAAATGAATAACAAGTACAGTGTTTGTTGAACAGTGCACTTTATAAACATCACTGGATGTATAGGCAGAAAATACTGAAGCAAAAAACATATTCTGATTTGATGTAATTCCAATATTACATTTTTTAACATTTCTGTTTGACACAAAACGCTAGTGAACTGCAGCATTCTGCAGTTTTGCGACTGGTCGCCCACTGAAGTTTGAGTTTACCCATCTTTCTTTCATCAGTACATCCCTGACCTCAATCTGCTTATAACAGAGTGTACTTATTTATGCTTAACATTTTAAATTCACTACCCAAAATATGTCATAGTTACACGCCATGCCGTACAGCTGGGAATGCTGTGAATAAACATTATTAACCAGTTTCAAACTAGAAAAATACATGGTCTCCCTAGAATTAGTAACTGAATGTAACTCACTTTGAGTCAGAGGTTTCCCCTCCACTGCTGAAGTGATGAGGCTCCATCATGAGGTGATCAGTCTTCACAGACACAGTAGGACACTGGACACACTGCTCTCTGCTCTCTGTGAAGAGTTTTACATTTACAGTGTGAACAGGACACTGAATCACAGGTTATAATGAACTGGATGTCACTGCAGCATCAGCCAATACCTGATAAAGAAATATTTTTCATAAAATTGTAGCACAATCACATCCTCTGCTGATACATATTACACACGTTTCATTACTAATACTAAACACCATCCATTACAATAGACTGTCATTCACTGTCTACTGAATAGAGTCCAGCAGGGGTGCCAATGTGGTCAGATCTGGTGAGAGAGAGTACTTTCAATAATGCAAGAACACTCAGAGGTGGTGAGTTACTAGTTACTCAGTTCTATTAACTCAGTAACATTTTCACTGATTTGTATGTTCCTGAGTGTTTTCAAATGATGATATTTTTACTTCTACTCACAAATAAGAAGGGGGAAAAATACAGTGTTGATGAGCCTTAATAAGAGCTTCAGATGTAAGTGAAGAGTAAAATACAACTCCAGGATTATTAGCAGCTAGAGGTGGATCCAGATTTTTGGAGTTCAGTCATCAAAAAGTTACCTTGAAGAAACTCTAACAAAAGACTCAGCAGAAACCTGAAAGCATGCGTGATGCCTGTGTTATGCTGCTTATCTGTTCTACCTGCTGTAACTGCTGATGGACAGACACAGCAGTGCCTGGATAACCTGTGACTTTTTTGACTGTTTATAGATTTTCAACATACACTCAACAGCACATATAAGATACACAATAACACAAACAATAACATTAAGTGCTGTGTCAAAGGAGATCAAAAAACAAAAATTGAAAAGCACCAGTGGGTATAAACCGTGGCTTAACATGTCTTACAGTATTCTGTACACATATTTACATAAAAGCACTTACATGTTGTGGAGTTTCAGTGTCCGCCATCTTGTAGATCGGCTTAACTCCACCCCTGAGTTTAATGAAGAATCAACAGATACAAACACACAACTTTTCTACTTTAAACTACCAGAAAATCTTCAACACAAAAAGATATCTAAATAATTTAAGACCAACAGTCTGAAATCCAAAATGTCTAC